ACCTCAGCTGATCCCTGCTATCCAAACCTCACCATCCAAACCACGGCTTCGTTTCCAAGCAAAACCAGGTGGGATCTTTCCAAATTATTCTAAAAGCTTTAACAATCTGCTACTGCAGCCACAAAATTCCCGGGAATACGGATGGGCAGAGTCCAGTGTCCTGCCTGCCTTCTGTGGGATGGGAAAAGCAAAAGGGAAGAAGGGAAAGGGAATAAAGGAACCACTTTGGGATTGCACCAATTCTCCCTCAAGACTTGAGACCACCCACAGGAGCTTTCCTTTGCTCCCCAGCTCCTTGGAAAGCTGCAGATAAAGAGGAAAGGAAGACTTGGGATAAACGATAATCCGGAATAATTAAATTAAATGAGCAGGGACACCCTCCCATATCCCAGGTTGTTCCAACCTGGCCTTGGACACTTCCAGGAATGCGGCAGCCAGTTTCCCTGGGAAATCCATCCCAGCCCCTTCCCACCCTCCCAAGGAGGAATTTTTTTCCCAAAATCTCATCTAAAGGACATTTTTTATCCCAAAAGGCACCGTGTCCCCCTCGGTTATCCACAGTCACCCACGGGGACCATCCCGAAATCCCATCCCGGTGACATTCCCGTGGCCATGAATAATTCAGGTACACCAGGAAAGTTTCCCGGGGCTGCTGCATGGATGAGCCCAAATCACCTGGAGGAGGTGAAGATGAGCTAATCACATTTGTTTTCTCTTGAAAGCTGATTAACCGCTAATTAGAATATTAAACAAGGGCTTAAATACGTAAATGAGCAGCTGAGGACAGAGCTCCTTATTGGAGGTGCTATAAAATTCCTGATTTTTATTCCTTTTATTTTCATTCCTTTTATTTTTATTCCTCCTGGACCCAAGCTGCCCTCACCAAGAACTCGGGCTGCCCTTGGAATGCCAAACACCTCGGATAAAATGACATCAGGAAGCTGGGGTGTGAATTCTGTGTAACATGGAAAAGGGTGGCCGTTTGTATTCAGGGGCCCGTGGTGGCGAGCGGGTTTCTGCCTCTGAAAATTAGGAAAGGAGCAGGATTTCTCCTGGAGCAAATCACCTCCACCTAGAACTCAGGCTGCTCTTGAAGTGCCAAAGACCTCTGACAAAGTGACATCAGGAACTTGTGCTGGGGGGAGTTTTCTTTCCCCTGGAAAAGAGCCGCTGTTCGTGTCCTGGGGCCCGTGGTGGCAAGCGGGTTTCTGCCTCTGCGAATTAAGAACGCAGCAGGAGTCTCCTGGTCCCAAACCATCCCCAGCTGGAACTTGGGTGATCCTCTGAATGCCAAAGGCCTCTGACAAACTGACAGCAGGAACTTGTGCTGGGGGGAGATTTCCTTCCCCTGGAAAAGAGCCGATGTTCGTGTCCAGGGGACCACGATGACAATGAGCTTCTGCCTCTGAAAATTACAACTGGAGAAGGATTTCTCCTGGACCCAAGGCATCCCCACCTATGTCACCCTGAAAACTCAGTTTTTCCATCTTGTTGACATAATTTCTAAGAGCTTTCCCAGGTCAGTGACTGTAAACACAGATATGTATTCATTCTTTCTGGTACACGTCCTTTGATGGACGTCTCACACAACCAGTGTGATTGGGAAGGTGCAAACCTGACTATCCAATCCCTGGTCATTGCCCAGAATCTATAAATAGTTGTAAGTTGTAAAGAATAAACCCAGGTTTTTTTTGTCAGTTGTAAGAATAAAACCATTTTTTCCCTGTCATAGGGGAGCTGTGTTTGTGTGAGTCATTGTGTGTCCTACAGCGACACTCCTGGAGCTGGGGCTGCCCTTGGAACTCCAAAGGCCGCTGACAAGCTGCCATCAGGAACTTGGAGAGGTTTGTTTTCTTTCCTCTTGAAATGGAAATTGTCCAGGGGCTTATGGCTGTGTCCACAGCCTGCACCACCGCATCATGCCGGGAAATGTTCTTAGTTCCTTCTCTGTCTGAGCTTTTAGGGTTTGGCATATTGCTTCCTTGTGGTCTTGTATTGAAAAGCCGCTCAGGCTATCCACGAGTCTTCACAGAAATGAAAGTGAACGTGGTTTATTTCTATCTTTAGCACATTTTTATAGGGTTTGCCAGGGTCTCCGGGCCAAGCAAGTTACCATTGGCCAATGCGCACGGGTTTACATTTTATCTTTCATACACAAGGATATTGTTTTGCTTTATTCTCTCTCTTGCAGGAGAGTTTCAAGGACATTAGCCCTTAATATCACCACTTATACCGAAGGCTGGTTTGTGCAGACAGGCCTTTACTAAAATATCATGCCCACCTTCTGTTAGAATGTTCTCTACAGTCTTGCCCCAGTTTTTTGTCTGACACTCACTTCATAGCCCAGCTAAGTAACTGTTTTACCACTGGGCTTTCTTTTGGGCTACTCCATGCTCCCCCAGACCCAAAAATTTTAGGAGGTTTACAGTCCAGTCCACACGTGCCTTGTGGGTTTGGTTGTTAGAACATCACAGTATAGCAACTGTCCCTCTCCCTTTGGGGCTTCCCAGGACTCCAGATCCTTTCCATGGTGTTCCTGAATATGCTGAGGGAATTCTTGGGCCTTTGAGACAACACAGAGTGAATGAGCTGGGTCCTTCATCTGCCTTTAGAATTTTCTTATTCAAAGACAAATATCTTTTGTCTGGCTTCATGGAGAAAGCGTCCCTTAAATCTGAAAGAGCAAACTAGATTATTTCTAGCATTAATGCTCTTTTGCCAGTAAAGAATACAGATTCTCTACTGTCCTATTGCCAGCTCTCATATCCTGGACCTCTCTATATGCTCCATCAGGTTTCTGTGAGACTTAAGCTTAGAAGAATTTAAGATTTTAGAGATGCTGAGGCCTTAATTAAAAATCAGCCTTGTTAAATCTAATTAAAATAAATAAATAGGCTTCATTAAAATTAAAGGTAGATAGAAAAACTTGGCTAAAATCAGAGGTTAATCATTGGCTAATAACTAATTGTGTGTCAACTTTATGTTTGTTCAGCTGGGCTGTAATGAGAAACCAAGAATCTGGTAAGGAACTTTGTCCTGCGGTGACTTTATGATGTTTGATTGTATCCCAAATCGCCTGGTTCATGTTCCATATTAAATTCTGCACCTTTAGGATTGGCTCTGAGAGGGGAGGTGGGGAAGGAAGAGCCGCAGTTTGAGCTCTGGGTGCGGCTGTGGGAATTCCGGGACCTTTCCAATGTCCCTAAAAGCGCCTTGACCGAGGTGCTGATGAGTGAGGAGCCTCATTAAAGAGCTGCCCGAGACTGATTAGCCATGCAAACTTACCCAGAGCCCTCTGCTTCCTCCTGCCAGCTCTCCCAGCTGCTCTTCCCCATTTTATTCCCCCAAAATGCCCTCTGGATGCTCCAGCTCCTGCCCCTCCCTCCCTGGATTTTTTCTCTCGGAAGATTCCCAGTGGATGCTCTGCCTCGCTTTCCTCCTTTCTCTGCTGCTCTCTCCAGCTTTATTCCCCCCAAAACGGCACGGTGGAATCTCCAGCTCTCCCAGTTTCCCTGATGGTCCCTCCCTGTTTATTTTCCCCCAAAAGATTCCCAGTGGATACTCCAGCTCCTTCCAGCTGTTCCCTTTCCCTGGATTTTTTTTCCCGGTGGATGCTCCAGCTCCTGCTTCGCTGGTCTCTCCCTGTGTTTTTCCCCAAAAGATTCACAGTGGAAGCTCCAGCTCCTCCCACTCGCTCTCCCACTTTCCCTGCTGCTCTCTCCCTGATTTTTTTTCCCAAGAAGATTCCCAGTGTTGATCTCGCCCTGTTTTTTCCCCCCAAAAGATTCCCAGTGGGAGCTCCAAGCTCTCCCAGTTTCCCTGCTGCTCCCTCCCTCAATCAGCAGCCGCTGGAAGAGCCGAGAGGAGCCGGGGGGGTTTCAGGGATCTTTCCTTCCAGGGAATGCAGGCAGAGGAGTTGGGAGATGAGAGACCTTTGGAAAAGCACCAAATTCCTCTTTTGGAGGAGATTCCAGGGCTGGAATTTGGCAGCAAAAAATGCTTGGGAAATGAGGAATTCTCGACAACACCCAAAAGCTGAGCCTGGGTCAGGGATTAAATCCCAAATACAGAGGGAAACCCTGGGAATTGGAAGCAGGAAGAATCCTGGAATGGTTTGAGTTGGAAGGAACCTTAAGGATCATCCAACTTCACCCAATTCCAACACCTCCCACTATCCCAGGCTGCTCCAAGCTTGGACATTTCCAGGGATGGGGTGGCCCCAGTTTCTCTGGGAAGCTCCGTGGACTCCAAAGTGTTTTGATCCTCGTCTCTCCCTCAGAATCCATCGGAAATCCAGCAGGATCCGTTCTGCTGCCCCAAAATCCCAACGAACGCGCCCCAGGCTCATCCTGCCAGGAATTAGTCACACCAAACATCCCAAAAAACCTCAGCTCGCTTTTCCCCGCCCTTATTTTGGATCAACCGACCCAAGGAGGGAATAAATCCAAGGATTAATTGGGAAAAGCCAAATAAAAGGCACTGGAGAGCATCAAATCCATACGGGAGCAGTCACGGGACATCAAAGACCCTGCCAGGGCTGTTTTCATCCCAAATTTCCTTGATCCCAGGTTAATTCCTGCCAGTCATCAGCCATGGGGAGAGAGGAGGCGTCGGGCTCCGAACTAAAACCTCATTAAGGCAAATCTGAGCTCCTGGACAGGAATGCGGGGGCTGGGAAAGGGGAAGGATCCTGTTCTCCCTTCCCATGGGATATCCCTGATCAAATCCTGCTGGAAAAGCCAAACCCATTCATCCAAATCCATCCAATCTGCCTGAATTATCACCCCTCCTGAAACCAGGATGCGCTTCCCAGCAGCTGGAAAAGTCGGGAATCTCCATCCATTCCCGCAGGAGTGGTGTGTGCGCATCCAGAAAATCCCGGGATCAACCTTTTGGAATTCACACACACACCAAAAACCAAAAAACACACAAACAAAAATCCCCAAAAAAAACCAACCAGACAAAAAGGCACCAGGGGGCTGTAAGAAAAAGCAATGCAAAAATCGAGATTTTTTTATTATTCGGAAGTCCAAAATTGAAAATAGCTTTGAAATTCCGCAGGGAACGCCGGGAACACACGGAAAAGCCTCATATACAGAGACAGATAAATTAACTGGGAATTCTGCAGACAAGCCAGGGACATGGAGAGATTCCATATGTACATTTTTATGGAAACCATTTATACACTTTATTACATTTACAAAAAAAAGCTGATTTTTTTTTTTCTACTACTTTTTTTCTTTGTTTTTCCCTACGATAATGAAAAAAAAAATTACATTTTGTTTTTTTAATTTATTTTTTAGCTGTACAAACTTTTAATTAATAAAAATATATCTCTGTACAAAAGAGGGATTTGAGCTTTTTTTGTGTTTTTTATAATTTTTCTCATTTTTTCCCTTTCTTTTTCTTCATTTTTTTCCCTTTTTTTATTTTTTTTTCCATTTTTTTCCCTTTTATTTTCATTTTTTTCCATATTGTTTTTTACCATATGCAAGTCCTCTGGGCACAAGGATGGAGAATGGCATGGAGCAGATCCCACACAGATTGCAAAAAAATAGGATAAACCCCTTTTTCCACTTCCTTGGCTCCCTGGGCAACAGCAGGAAAAGGGAATTCATGGATCCAAACAGCGAATTCCGTTGAAGTCGAGTTCCCCCTTCTCCCTTCCTGGGTGGTTTTAGATATTTCGGATTTATTTTGCACTCCTGGATGTGAGATTCTCCTCATTTTTCCATGGAATGAGAGGGAGCCACGTGTGGGAAGCCCATGTGCATCACCTGGACCAGTCAGGAGAGGATTCCCTGGAATCTGGACAGGAGTTTGGAAGGATCCAAGCTCTGCTTCCAAGGATTGTTGGAGTTTTGGGTGCTGGAATTGGGATCAGGACGTGTTGGGGCAGAGCAGAGCAGGGGGCAGGGTTGGGCTGTGGGGTTTTTTTAGGGATAACTGAGCTTGGGAAAGGCCAGAGATGGGCCAGGAGAGCCCAGCTGGAGGCAGGGTAGGATCCAAGGATTCCAAGGGGTTCTCCCAGCCTTGTTCCAGCAGTGGCAGGATGGAACAATGGAGAGGGGACAAGGGAAAAGGAGAACATTCCCTTGGAGTCTCACTGGGATTTGTGTCCCATGAGCTGGGAAGGACAGACACCATCCCAATCCAGCTGGCATTTCACCCTGGAATCCTCTCCAGGTGGGAGCACAGCCGACTCCAGTGTCCCCAAATCCATGTGGGAACATTTCCCTGACCCCTGCCCACACGGGGCTGGGGCTCTGGCTCCCACTTCCCAGGGAGAAATCGGCACCTTGGTGGGATTTTTGGGAGCTGAGGTGGCATTTTTGGCAGGCTGGGAATTCTGCTCCCTCTGGGAGAGCTGAAGGAGAGCCAGGAGTAAGAAAAATAAAACTTTGATGTATTTGCACCCAGAAAATCAAGGCTAAACCAACAAAAATTCCCAAATTATCCAATGGTTTTCAGCAGGCAGAGCTTCAGGGAGGAGAAAATCCATGCTGGAACTGGAGCATGGATGGAAACTCCGTTCCAGTGGGTTCATTCTGATCCTCCTTGGAGCCTCCTGGACTCAGTGACCTGGGAGTGGCACCTCTGCTTCCCCTGATCCCAAAATAAGTGACTCCAAGCAAACTCTGGATCACAAGGATGCAGAGGAGGGAAATGTCAGGCTGCCTTCCCTGCTCCCACAAAATCCCAGGAAACCTCAGTGCCCCTGGGAAGTAACAGGAGCAGCTCGGGATGGGAATTAAAACTCTTCCTGCTTTGTCCTTTGGAGGATCAGTCTGAAAAGGGCAAAGGTTTTGGGAAGCTTTTGGGGGAATTAGGGTTTGTTGAGTTCTTTTCAGAGAGGATTTTTGTCCCTTTGGATATTCCTGTTCCTTCTGGAATTGTCTGGCAGCGAATTCCTGATCAGGGATTTGAGCCCAGCTCCAATCAGGGGGAACACAGCGCAGGAAAAGCCCAGCCAGGAATGCCCAAAGGAAAATCAAAGACAGGGAAGAGGGGAAAAGCTTTGAGAAGCTTTCCCAGGTTTTGGGAAGGCCCCATTTGGAAAACTCTTCCTGGGTAGAAAATCCAACAAAGAAATAACCCAGAAACACAAATACAGAAAAACAAATCCTTGTCCTGGATGCAGTGAATTTCCATGAATCCAGCCAGGAATACCCAAAGGAAAATGAATCACAGAGAAGAGGGGAAAAGCTTTGGGAAGCTTTTCCCAGGTTTTGGGAAGGTTCCTGTTGAAAACTCTTCCTGGGTTAGAAAAACCAACAAAGAAATAACCCAGAAATCCAAATGCAGAAAAGCTAAATCCTCATCCTGTCCCATCCAGGTGTTTTCCATAAATCCAGCCAGGAATGCCCAAAGGAAAATCTAACACAGGAAAGAAGGGGAAAGCTTCCCAAGGTTTGAAAAGCTCCCATTTGAAATCCCTTCCTCTGCTCAAGCCCTGGGGTAGAAAACACAACCAAAAAATAACCCAGAAACCCAAACCCAGACACACAAATCCTCATCCTGTCCAATCCGGGTGTTTCCCACCAATCTAGCACCTTGTGCACGACTTCTTTGTTGCCCAAGCTCTTCCCAAAGTTTGGGAAGCTCCTTCCAGGAGCACTGGGAGCAGCTCAGGAAAGCCTCCCACCGCCAAGCCTTCCCAAGGTCTCGGAGCGGGGTGGGAGGCAGCAGCGGAGCCGGAGCAGAACCTTTGGCTTGGAGATCCAGCAGGATGGAGCAGGTGGATCCAGCAGCCCTTCGGGAATTCCAGGGAGGTGCAGCAGCTTCTCCGCAGCCTCGGCAGGGACGGGAGCAGGGAGGTGGGGAGGGGATGGATAGATGGAGAGGTGGGACAATCATCCACTGGACACTGATCCCAGGAATCTGGGAACGCAAAGACTTGGTTATGACACATGGAAATGCTGGAAAAGTGGCTCTGTTATCCTAAAACTGGAGTATTCCAGATAGAAGGGCTCTACAATCCACAATGAACTTTAGATTACTTGAAACATGTAAATCCCAGATCCCTGTGCAAAATTCCCCATCTGGAGTCACCCAGGGAATGATCCCTCTCAGAGATCCATTTTTCCATTCCCATTTCTCTCTGCAGTAGAATTTAAAATTCCAAATCCCTGTGCAAAAGACCCACAGGATGCTTTGGGCACTGCTGGGACCACTGCTCCCACAGAGCTAAATGAGAGTGGGATATTGGGATGAAATTCCTCCTGATTTCCAACCTAAACCTTCCTTGGAGCAGCTTAAGGCTGTTTTGTCCTGTCACCCCTTGGGTCTAACTCCTGGCTCTGCCCAGGACATTCCAAGACCCACAAGATCCCTTGGGCAATCCCGGGCCTCCTCTGACCCCCTGCTCTCACTAAAGAGAGCTAAAGGAGAGTGGGATACTGGGAAGAAATTCCTCCTGATTTCCAGCCTAAACCTCCCCTGGTTCTTAAGGCTGTGTCTTCTTGTCCTATCAACCCTCATGTCCAACTCTTTGCCCTGCAAGAACCTTCCAGGACCCACAAGACCCCTCTGACCCACTCCTTCATTAGAGCTAAAAGAGTAGGCTTAGATGGGAAATTGGGATGAAATTCCTCCCTGTGAGGGCCATGAGGGGCTGGGATGGAATTCCCAGACAATCTGTGGCTGCTGGAAATCTTCAAAGCTGGCTTGGAGCAAGCTTGTCTTGGGGAAGCCCTCACTGCCCACAGAACCAGCTGAGCTCTAAGAACCCTTCCTGATGCCTCAGGATTTCAGCTTTTCTGTTTTTCATCTATTTGTAACCCTGCAGTTCTTTAGTGTGTAACTCCAAACTCCACACACAGTGTGAGCTGCTGCTTTCCCATTTGGGTCAGACACAGCAATTCCTCTGCAGCCCTGGCAATCAAGGACACCTCACTGCCTCGGGCCCCCAGAGATGGAAACAAAAGGGAGTTGGGGGCAGCAAACTTGGGGGAAATGACTTCATTACCTGAAGCTGGAATTGGGAGATTAACCCCAATATGCAAATGGTCCAAACTTATAAAAGTGTGAAACCCCTGACCCGTGGTCCATTTTGGGTGCAGCCCCTGGGGGGCTTTGTGTGCCTGGAATGTCCCTGGAGGCCCCTCAATAAACAGAACTGCTTTTTATTCCCTGGATTTTGTCTGGCCTCTGTTTTTAGGTGTCCCTAGAAGGCATCAGTTTCTGGGAAATGATGTTTTCACCATTTATTATCTCACCAGTGAGACCTCTGGAGAATCCTCTCCAGCTACAACCCCCAACAACTTCACACAGTCCATGGATCCCAGAGAACCCCTCCAACTCCACACACTCCATGATCCAACAAGAGCCCTTCCAACTCCACACACTCCATGATCCAACAAGAGCCCTTCCAGCTCCACACACTCCATGGATCCAACAAGAGCCCTTCCAACTCCACACATTCCATGGATCCAACAAGAGCCCTTCCAGCTCCACACACTCCATGATCCAAAAAGAGCCCTTCCAGCTCCACACACTCCATGATCCAACAAGAGCCCTTCCAACTCCACACACTCCATGACCCCAGAGAGCCCCTCCAACTCCACACACTCCATGGATCCCAGAGAGCCCCTCCAACTCCACACACTCCATGATCCAACAAGAGCCCTTCCAGCTCCACACACTCCATGATCCCATGAGGGCCCTCCCAACTCCACACGCTCCATGGATCCCAGAGAATCCTTCCAACTCCACACATTCCATGATCCCAGAGAACCCCTCCAACTCCACACACTCCATGATCCAACTGTAACCCTTCCAACTGCACACATTCCATGATCCCAGAGAATCCTTCCAACTCCACACACTCCATGATCGAACTGGAACCCTACTAACTCCACACACTCCATGATCCAACTGGAACCCTTCTAACTCCACACATTCCATGATCCCATGAGAGCCCTCCCACCTGCACAGGCTCCATGACATCCCTCCAGGATGCCGAGGGGACAGTGGGGACGGCAGGGGTGGCCCTGTGCCACTCACCGTGTGGGGACAGCGCTATACAGCCGTGCACACCGTGCTCACTGTGAACTCGGCCTCGCTGGCCATGATGTCCGAGGGCTGCAGGTTCCGGTCGTACATGGGGTTCTCGAAGGTTCCCCTCACGTTGGTGTTCTCGTGGCCAGCGTAGCCATTGAATGGGACTTTGGGTCTCCTCCTGCAGGGTCAGGGACAAAACCCACACAGGTGACAGCCCTGAGGAAGGGCACTGACAGGGGAAATGCCTGGGGATGGAGCTGAAAAATCCAGCTGGGGATTTGCAGCATTGATCAGGTGTGGGAAATGCAGGAACAGAGAGATCTCAAAGCCTTGAGCACACAGACCCAGAGACAGAGATGGACACAGAGTCTGACCTGAGAGCTGGGAGAAGGCTTGGAGCTTCACAACAATGAAGCTCTACAAACATGAAGTAAGAATAGAAGCTTGTAGTTTAAGAAGAAATATGTTTTAAGCATGCTTTAAGCAAGTAAAAGTATGCTTTATATAAGTGAATAAATATGTTAAGTAAGGTAATAGAGATTTTGAAGTTTAACATAAAACCTGTTAAAGAGTTAGTAAGAAATTATAGATATAGCAATGTAAGTTTCTGTAGTGTTCTATGATTGGATGAAAAAAGATGCATAGCAGCAGAATTGTGTGAGACGAAACAATTAATGATTGGTTTATGAAGATGCTGGTGAGCTTTTGTCTAACTTGTTGATTGGTTAAAAAGTTTATGCAAGACATTGTAACTAGAATTTAGATGGCTTCTGAGGTGATGGTGTTGAATGTAACATCTGAAGTGTCTCACTCCTCCATGAGACTGATGGGCTATGCAATAAAACACTTTTTCTAACATCACTGTTGGCCTCACCTGCTCTGATCCCAATAATCAGGAACAAACCCAAGTTTACACCACATTCAAAGCCATGGGTGGGGGAAATTAGCTTTTTATCCTCCTGAATGTGGCTACAAATCCCATTAATGGCCAGCAAAATCCTCTCTGCTCTCCTCTCCCAAACCCTCACCCCACCACGCTTTATTTTCCCACCTCCTGAATTAAACCAGCCCAAAAGGAGGTGATTTTAAGCCCAGCTCACTGATACTTCCCTCAAATCCCTGAATTTCTTTCACCTTTTGGAATTCTTGCCCCAAACCCACCTGAGTTCACAGAGATAAAGCACAAACCCCGCAATAACCTCCCCAACCCTCTGTTTTTATCCCACCCCTGATTTAAACCAGCCTAAAAGCAGGGGATTTTAAGCCCAGCTCTGACATTTCTCTGAATTTCTTTCACCTTTTGGTATTCTTGCCCCAAACCCACCTGTGTTTGTAGAGATAAAGCACAAACCCTGCAATAATCAGGGCGATGAAAGGCACAAGGATGGCGGCTGCCACGGAGCTGCTGTTGGATGCAAAGTGGTGGCCGATGGACTCGGGATCGTTCTCCATCATGCTGATGTCTGGAACACAGCAGAAAGGAACACATTTCCCACATTTCCAAGCCCCTGCTGGGGGAAAAGGGCTTGGCTGGAGGTGCAGGTGACACCAGCAGCAGAGTGAAGTGGTGCTGGAAAAGGGAATTTAAAAATGGATGTGCAAGGATGGAGATCCAGCCTAACTTAGGCCTCACCGTTTTTTTTTAGATCTGTATTTAAAGAGAGGTGTAAATTGATTCATTTTGCCAAAAAGATCCATCTTTTTGGATGTTGGAAATGGAAAAATGGAAAACTCCCCAGAATTGCTGAAGGGTTCAGTCTGCAGCCTTGGAAAGAGCTTGGGTTAATGTAATGATGAAGGTACACAGACATTGGGTAGAGAAATTATAAACTTACGTTCCTATAATTAAGAATATGTCTTAAGTAGGTAAGAAATTGTATTAGGTAAAACAGCTTGAGGTTTAAGCTGTAATAGTGTGAGTTACAGAGATCTAGAAACTGTAGTGGAGGGGTATGTGAGTATGTGACCTGCCAGCTTAGTGGCTCAGAGACAGATGTAGTGCAGCAAAATTAAGCCAAGGTGAGAGGTTAATAAGTGAAAACAAGTATTGTGTCCACTGTCTATTGGGCCAAAATGTTACATATATTTACATATAATATATTGCAGTGCAAAGAGGAAACTTGTGTCTTCCTTGAGCCATGGCTGATTTGTTGCTCCTCTAAATCTCACACCTTGGGACTGATATCTTACCAGGCTGCTTGAGCAATAAATCATCTCAAAACAAGGTGGGCCCGTCCCTGGTTCTTCATCTCCACACTTGGGTGCATAAAGTTGGGCTTTAAGGAGACTCTGATAAGCTGCACTAACAAGCATCCATAAAGGTGACGAGATCCCAGCAATCCTGAAGGATTAAAGAGCTCAAACCACGCTTTAAGAGGTATTTAGGAGCTTAAACTTCGGGTGGTTTAAGCTCCCAAGAGCCGCTGTGACTTCTGGTGGAGACACTTTCTGTGGGGGGGATGGGATTTGGGCTTGGCAGGGATCTGGGAATTTGGGAAAAAAAACATGTCCAGGTGTTGTTTGTGCTTCCAAACTTTCCTTTCCTTTGGAAAGCAGCCTGGTTATCCCTCGTTTTGTTCCCAAATTATAAATTTTATCGTTTATTTTTATTGTTTTATTGTTTATTTTGTGCTGTTTGTCTCCCACAAACCTCAAGTTCAGCAGAACTCGGGAAGTGCGGAAAATTCAAGCCAGGGATTGGAGAAACATTCCCTGCCTGGAAACCCCCAAAATGGAGCTTTTGGAAGAGAAAAAGGAATTTTACCAAGTCTCTGGAGGCCAAACTGCCCGAAGCCTTTGCCACGCACGAAACCCTGGTACACGAAGGTGCCACTTGAGGACTCCGATGAGACCTGTGGAGAGTGGAAATCAATGGATTTATCCAACATTCCCCTGAATTTAACACCCAGCTCATCTCAGCCCCTTCCAAGCACATTGATTTGATGCAATTCCCCAGAAAATCCTGGAATTTTTTGAAGAGTTTCACTGCCCAACAGATGAAAATTCTCCCGTCTCAAAGGAAGGGAAGCCAAAAAAAATCTCATTTGCAATAAATCGAGAGGACATTGCTGATTCCAGAGGGAGAGGGAAGAAGTGGCCATGGGTCAGTCAGATCCACTTTTTTTTCCAAGCTCCAGTGGATCCCTAAAGGTCTTGGGAAACTCCCAGACACAGGCAGAGGGTGAGGAGTTGGCTCCATTAGGGAAAATCAGCCCCACCTGGAATGAATCCCACTGGTTTTTCCTCCAGCATTACCTGAGAGATGATGGATTCCAAACCCCAGGGCAAAAAAAACAACTCCTAGCTCTGGGAATTACCCCTCAGCTCAGGGAAGGGAAATCCAGGCTGGGACAGCCATGGGAAGGGGATTTGTGCACTCACATGTCCATCCAGAGCCCATTTGTCATTCCGGAACTTGTTGGCAAAGATCTCCAGCGGCCCCATGATCTGGTACACCTGGAGCAGCAGGTGCACATCTTCCTTCTTATAAATCCCTGGAAAAGAAGGGATTTTGTTGGCTCTGGATCACTCTGGCTTGAAATAATCGAGTGGGAGGGCAGAGAAACCACATCAGGGTTTGAGTGGACACCAGCCCTGTCACTGGGATGCACTGGGAAACACAGACCAGGATATTGAAGATGTTTTCCACATGGGAAAGGACTCAATTTCATATTTAATTAATATTCAGGTTCTGCTACTGGATCAGGAAGACCCTGGTGCTCCAGGAGGGCAGGGACATGGAACACTCACGGAATCATGAGCTGGAAGTGACTCCCAAGGACCATCAAAGTCCAACTCACATAACTTAATATTTTTTGCCAAAAGTTCCAAGTCCTACCTCAGGTGCCTCCAGGGATGGGCACTCCAAACCTCCCTGGGCAGTCCCAAGGCCTGACCACCCTTTCCATGCAGAAAGTTTCCCTAATATCCAACCTGGCACAGGTTGAGGCTGTTTCTTCCTGGGAGCAGAGCCAGCCTGGCTGCCCCCTCCTGTCAGGGAATTGTGGGGAGCCCCTTGAGCCTCTTTTTCTCCAGGCTCCACCCGGAGTTCTCCAGACCCTTTCCCAGCTCCATTCCCTTCTCTGGACATGCTCCAGCCCCTCAATGTCTTTCTGGCCATGAGTGACCAGAACTCGACACTGTAGGAATCCAGAAATGGAGAGACATTTCTCTGTTTGTTCTCCAAAAAAGTATCAATCCTATTTGCTATTGACAGAAAGGCTTCAAAATATCCCTGGGTAAACCAGGATTTATAGAAAATTAAGTAGAAAGTAGTAAAATGTTTAATATGCCACTGAGGTGAAAAATATAGATTTTAGAGGGGTTTAATACATGGAGTAAAGGTGAAGGAAGAAAAGTGTGGTTTTTAGCTCTTCTTCCTCCGTCTTCTCCGTGATCCTGCAGTTTTTGAGAGCACAAAGAATGATTGGTGCAGTTTCAGTTACGTAGATATAGAAAACTTATTTGTTAAAGTATAAGAACAATACACGTCTGTAGTTAATAGGGTAAAAATTGATATAAAAGTGAAGCAGCCGTGTGGTTTGGGGCCACTTTGTGCCATCAGAGCAAAATGAGCCAGGTTGTGGTGAATTGAGCTTGTGCAGAAAGTCTGCAGAGACCTGCCAAGTTCTGTAATAACATCTAATAAACAGGAGAAATGAGATTCCAAGCAGCTCAGGAGTTTCCTTCAAACCCAGAGAGCTGAGATAAGCGGGACTCCCCACTTTGGGAGGATCCCAAAGGAGCTCAGCCCAAAGGGGACTGAGAAATCCAGGAGGAAAGAAAAATATAGAAGTGTAGAAGAAGAGAGAGAAGAAAAAGAATAAAAGAGATTACAGACTCAGCCCTGGAGGTGTGGCAGCAGCGCTGGCACAGGAGACAGTCCCTGCCCTGGTAGTGCCAATGTCACCCCTTCCCAAAGTGCCAATGTCACCCCTCCCAAAGTGCCAATGCCACCGTTCCCAAAGTGCCAATGTCACCCCTCCCAAAGTGCCAATGCCACCGTTCCCAAAGTGCCAATGCCACCCCTCCCAAAGTGCCAATGTCACCCCTCCCAAAGTGCCAATATCACCCCCTCCCAAAGTGCCAATGCCAGCCCTTCCCAAAGTGCCAATGCCACCGTTCCCAAAGTGCCAATGTCACCCCTCCCAAAGTGCCAATGTCACGTCTTCCCAAAGTGCCAATGCCAGCCCTCCCAAAGTGCCAATGCCAGCCCTCCCAAAGAGCCAATGCCAGCCCTCCCAAAGTGCCAATGCCACCCCTCCCAAAGTGCCAATGTCACCCCTCCCAAAGTGCCAATGCCAGCCCTCCCAAAGTGCCAATGTCACCTCTTCCCAAAGTGCCAATGTCACCCCTTCCCAAAGTGCCAATGTCACCCCTCCCAAACTGCCAATGTCATCCCTCCCAAAGTGCCAATGCCACCCCTCCCAAAGTGCCAATGTCACCCCTCCTGTCCCTCACCGGACACCTGGAGCTCCACCCCGCTGTGGTCGATCAAGGTGGCGTTGACCTTGCTGGTGGTGGGGTCGAAGCTGGTGACAGAGAGCATGGCTGGCTGCTTCTTCCCCAGGTACTCGTAGGAGCCTTTCCACAGGGAATTCCTCGCAAACACATCCGCAGGCACTGGAATTACAGCAATGGGAGACCCAAAAAAAAGGACAGGAGCGTTTCCATTTTTCAGGGAAAGAAACAGAGCAGGATTTCTGCTCACTGACAAAAATTAAATGAATTTAAATTTATTTAGTTTTATTATAAATATATTAAATGTATTATAATGATAGTATATTATAAATATCTTAATATTATGTATTATAGTATTTGTTATAAATTATATATTATATTAATTAACATATAGTTATTACAATATTTATTTTATACGATGTAAATATATATTCATTATATATTAAATATAGATTACATATTAAATATATAAATATTAACTATGTATTAATATATTAAATATGTATTAATAAATTAATATTATATTTCATTATATTTAATATTTTTAATTGTATTTTAAATATCTTAAATCCCACCTGCTCTGTGGGTGCCATCACCATGGGTGAACACAAAGCCAAAACCAGTGCCTTTAATTTGGATGTTGTGACCAAAAATTCAAGGCAATTTTAAAAAATGAACCAACTCCCAAAAGAATTTACTAGGAAAAGTTAACTTGAAATAAAAAAGGTCAACTGTACAGAATCCTGGAATGGCTGGAGTGCTCTGAGAAGGGTAGTGGGTGTTGATGCCCAGCTCCCATAAGGATCCTGCTGGCTCTCCAGGGAACAGGACGGGGTGTGTGGCAGTTTCCAGAGCGCCCAGGAATCCAGGAGGGTGGATGTGATGGGGTGCAGGGATGTATCCATGGGGATCAGCCCCCCATGGACCCTCACCTGAGACCTTGGCGAGTGGCGGCTCCCGTGCAGTGCCCACAGGCCTCCCGCTGGGACGGACATCGGCTGGGACAGAGGGGAAACTGGTGAATATTGAAGGCTCTGGCACTGTCCATCCCACAATTCCTGAGGCTGGAAAAGCCCTCCAAGGTCACAGACTCCAAGCTGTACCCGGTGCCCACCTTGTTGCCCAGCCCAGAGCACTGAGTGCCACATCTGGGTCTTCCTTGGCAACTCCAAACCTCTCTGGGCAGCCCCTGCCAAGGCCTGGCCATCCTTTCCATGCAGAAATTTTTGCTAAAATCCAACCTCAGCTCCCCTGGCCCAGCCTGAGGCCATTCCCTCTCCTCCTGTCCCTGTTCCTGGGAGCAGAGCCTGACCCCCCCGGCTGTCCCCTCCTGCCAGGGACTTGTGCAGAGCCACAAGGGCCCCCTGAGCCTCCTTTGCTCCAGGCTGAGCCCCTTCCCAGCTCCCTCAGGAATTCTCCAGCCCCTTCCCAGCTCCCTCAGCCCCTCCTGGGGCTCCAGCCCCTTCTCCAGCTCCATTCCCTGCCCTGGACACACTCCAGCCCCTCCATATCCCAAATGGAGGAGCCCAGAACTGGACACAGCACTCGAGGTGTCCCTCACCAGGACAGGGGACAATCCCCTCCCTGCTCCTGCTGGGCCATCCCTTGTTGGGAAGGTAGAATTAGAAAGGAATTATAAATATGACTCTTTAGCCAGAAAGGCTAAGGAAGAAATACAAATGAAAGCACGGTTTGAGTAATTCAAAGAAACTGGGCTGGTATGACAGAACACATTCTTTCCCCCAGTAAAACAGAGACCCCTCTCCCCAGCCTCATAAGGAAAGGTCTGAAGGACCCTGAGATAACTAAAAATATGCAAAAGCAGCAATTTCTATAGGTCCCACACAAATGTTACTGTATTAGTATGCTTAGAAAGATTGGTTAGTGAAGGAATAGAATATTCAATGTATAGATTATATAAGTGATTGCAAAAGAGAGCTCTCTCTTGCTACGCTCTCTTGCTGCTCTCTTTCCTGCTTGTTCCTGCTCTTCTTTATCCTCTCTTTCCCCAGCTCTCTCACTTCTGTTCTGTCACTCTCTTTCTTAGCAATTTTAAGTGTTGAACTCATGTATTCATATTTTACCCCCTTTTGTATTGTTTTCTCTGAGCCTGCTTTGAGCTCTATCTGCTGGCTCACAGCAGGCTCTCTCTCTCTCTCACACCCTGAAATAAACTTCTAACATCTCACTCGACTACAGAGGTCTCTGCCGTGTTTGGGACTGTCCAGCACCCCAAAAGTGTCTCGTACACTCCTGATCCAGGCCAGGTGTCACTAGCCATGTGGGCACACCTGGCTCATGTCCAGCTGCTGTCCCTCAGCACCCCCAGGTCCCTCTCTGCCTTTCAGCCCCTGTCCCCAGCCTGTCCTGCCTTTCCCTCTGCTCCAATCCCAAGGGTCCAGGAGAGCCACAGGGCTCCATTTCAGTGCATCAGAATACGTTCCACATGCAAGACTGTAGCAGGTAAAATGTGGGGGAGATTTTTGACTTTTGCAGGTGCTTCTAGACCCAAAAACCTCCCCAGAACATCCCCAGGTGACTCATTAGGGAAAGACTGGAGGTGGCACTCGTGTGTTGGGTCACAGGTTGGACCTGATGACCTCAAAGGCCTTTTCCAACCTAATTCTGGGATTCTGCTGTGGACACCAATGGTGGAGACCCTCCCACCAAGTGAAAATCAGGCTGGGCTATCCCACAACTTTAAAGGGAAAAAAGTCATGGCTGAAAACGCTTCCCTCCTTCCTTGGAGTTCTAACCCCAGAACTGAATCTTGGGTTTATCTGTAGGTTAAAAACCACCTTTGAAGGAACTCAAGGCCCAGGATCTCTACAAGCTGAGACCCTGGGGAGGGTCTCAGAGCCCAGCTGGTCCTCCCAGCCCCTCACCCAGGCAGATGGGGGGTTTCCCTGTCCAGCTGCCGTCGGCTTTGCAGGTGCGGTGCTCGGAGCCCCCGGTGAGGTAGAAGCCGCTCTGGCAGGAGTAGATCAAGGTGTAGCCCAGGGAGGGCAGGTCCAGGGCACCCACGTTGGCATGGGACGGGGTCTCAGGCTGCTTGCAGTGGTGGGCTGGAGGGGACAGGGAAAACAGGTGAGAGAAACCACCTGTGGTTTCACAGGGAGGGCAAAAAGCGATACCCTGACATCAACAGGGGACTGCTGATGAGACTCCTGGAAGTGTTTCTACACCACAGGGTAATTTTTCCCAGCTGGAGGAATTAATAAGGAGCTTCCCATGCTGGGTTTCTCTTCCTGGCTAAAGTTGAACCCAGCTCCAGCTTGATGAGCTGAAAATCAGGATTGGTCACCCCTATTTTTAAGGGAAAAAAGGCAAAACTGAAGGGTACAGAAGCACCTCTGACAGAACTGAGTGCCAGGTGTGGGTGCAGACTGAAAACTGCCTTTGCAATTTGATATCCTCCCTAAAATCCAATACATTTCCTCCAAGAATCCATTTTCCAGGGCCTGGCTGTGGTTCCCAGCTCCCTGTGCCATTGCCAGGACTCACGGACACAGTCGGGCTGGACGCCGCTCCAGGTCAGGTTGGGCAGGCAGGTCCTGGTGGTGGAGCCCTGCAGGAGATATCCCTTCTGGCACCTGAAGAGCAGGATGCTTCCCACCTGTCCCAATGGGAGACGATCACTCAGCTTCCCAGGGATTGCCAGGCCTTCATCCCACGTGCTTCCAAAGGGGCCATTCCCATGTCCCCACCCCTCACAGGAGCAGCTCCGCTCCCAGCCGAGCAAAAATCCCACTTATGGTGTCTCCAAATTAATTAAACCTAAAATTAATTCATTAAACCCCATGATTAAGGTAACTAATTAGCAGGAAAATGGAAGGACCCACTCTGGCATCCACTAGCACCCCCAGCAGGGAATGGGTGGGAAATCCCCAGGGAGTCACTGTGGGATTTTTGTCCCCATTCCAATGATTTCCTGCTGGATGAGAGCTGGGATTAGCAAAAGCACCTGCAGGATTTGGCCTGAAAATTAACGGAAATCAATGTGAATTGCAGTAATTATTAATTAGCACTGTAATTAATTTCAGATACAATGCACTGCTAATTAATGCTATGCAAACCTACTTGGAGGGCTAATGAAGCACATTGGGATGTCCTGCTCCCAGGAGGAGACAGGAATCCATGGAAGGACACATGAATCCATGGGATGGCACATGAATCCATGAGAGGAGACATTAACTCATGGGAGGAGACAATAATCCATGGAAAGACACGAGAATCCATGGAAAAAGGACACATGAATCCATGAGAGGAGACATTAATGCATGAGGGCAGACATGAATCCAAGGGAGAACATGTGAATCCATGGGAGGAGACATTAATCCATGGGATGACACAAGAATCCATGGAAGGACACATGAATCCCATGGGATAACACATGGATCCGTGGTAGGAAACGTGAATCCATGACAGGAGGCATTAACTCATGGAAGGACACGTGAATCCATGGAAGGACACATTAATCTATGGGAGGAAATATGAATCCATGGGAGGACACAGGAATCCATGGGATAACACAGGAATCCATGGGAGGACACAGGAATCCATGGGATAACACAGGAATCCATGGGAGGACACAGGAATCCATGGGATAACACAGGAATCCATGGGAGGACACAGGAATCCACGGGAGGACACAGGAATCCACGGGAGGACACAGGAATCCATGGGAGGACACAGGAATCCATGGGAGGACACAGGAATCCATGGGAGGACACAGGAATCCATGGGATAACACAGGAATCCATGGGAGGACACAGGAATCCATGGGAGGACACAGGAATCCATGGGAGGACACAGGAATCCATGGGAGGACACGTGATTCCAGGCCAAGCACCGAGCAGAGCCGGTTTTGTGCCACACCCCTCTTCCATGGCCATACCTGGTATCCCTGGGAATTGTTCTGCATCCCAAAAAGAGGCACTCCTGGATCTGCACATGTCGTGAGGCTGGGATCTGTTAAAAACAGGGACAGGGATTTATGGGAGAACTCAGACCCCTGCAGGCTCCTGCTTCACCTCTGGAACACAAGCAGGATTTGGCTCTGAAGGAACACACGGCGACAAGGAAAAACACATGGATCTTCTTGTTCCTTAAACCCCTGCCTGCTGCAGCACAGAGGCACTTCAGCCCTCAGGAGAATAACTGGGAACACTGTAAGAGATGGTCTGAAGTTTCCCTCATCTGCCTCACCACCATCGCAAGGACCGAGACCCTGAAGACCCCAGGGGACGTTGTGCAGGGGTTCTGGCCTGTTCTGTACCTCACACCTGCTCCCCAGAGCAATGGGTCTCACCACAGCAGCCCACAAATCTCCCCACCTTTTGGCCAACTGCCCCTTGCTTTGAAAGAGACCGTAAAAGTGACTTTTTTACGTTACTTTTGAGAGAGATCTCCCCATGGAAGAAGACACTGGCAACCCCATCTCATCCGTTGGTAGCCATAACCCCCCTTTTCTCTCTCTTAACTTTGCCTCTCTCCCTCTCATCTATCACATAACCCATGATGCTGGCATTAAAATAATGCATTATTGTTTTTGTGATTTAAACTGAAGTCCCTTGCTGTCCTTTTTGCACTCTGAGATCAAACGAACCTCTCACGACACCGCCTGTGTTAGCAGATGGTGACGAACACACACCATGGATCAGGACAGCTCCTCCCCACGTCCACGCCGTGCCCTCTGCTCCCAGGGGCCATCCCCAGCTCCAAGGACCATGATGATCCCATCTCTTCCCTGTCCTCTGCTCCCAGGGGCCATCCCCAGCTCCAAGGACCATGATGATCCCATCTCTTCCCTGTCCTCTGCTCCCAGGGGCCATCCCCAGCTCCAAGGACCATGGGATTGGGATTGGAAGTGAGGTGAGCCCCCAAATCCTGCAGCTGTGCCCAGAGGGGCCCCCCTTACCGATGCAGCTGGGCTGGGTCCCGCTCCAGGTGCCATCGGACTGGCAGAACCTCCGTGCCGACCCCACGAGCACCAGCGGGGCCAGGCAGGAGAAGGACACGGACGAGCGGTAGGTGAAACCTCGGTCCTCCCGCCTGCCCTGGGCCGGGGTCCCCGGGTCCCCACAGAACACGGCTGCAACAGCAAAGGGACAAGGACATGGCCACAGATCCCTCCAGGAATGTCACATCCCATCCAGGTCTATCACAGCCCATCCAACTCCATGATTAACTTGGGAATCAGAAGGCGCTGACGGCTGCATTCCCTGTAATTCTCTCCTTTTGGCTGTTAATTAACTTCCACCTTCTCCCCTGGATTTGCCTTTTTCCCCCCTCTTTTTTCTCCCATAATTGCATGGTGTCACTTTGTTCCTTGGGTCACTAATTATCCCAGATCCAGGGAAAGGATCATGAGGAACGGTGAGGGGTTTGTGGGATTTAATATGAAAATGGATATTGTGCAGCTGGAGAAGGAACTCAGAGGTGCCTTTAGCATCAGGAGATGTTTAATTCCCTTTTTTTTTGGTGTTTGCTGTTGTATCAAACCCACCCAGCATTCACAAAACATTCCCAACTTCTGCTGCAACACGATGCCCTTTGCCAAAGGATTTTTTGGCAGTTCCAGGAGTCCTGATTGCAGGAGGTTCGGTCACTGAGGGCAAACACCCAGTTTTGAGGATGTTTTGTAGGCAGGAACACGGAAAATGCCCAGATTTGGCCCAAATGTGGCCTCACCCCTCTGTCACAATGGTGGAGTGACCACCAACTGTGTCCCTGGAGTGACCACCTGTGTCCCTGGAGTGACCACCTGCGTCTCTGGAGTGACCAGCTGTGTCCCTGGAGTGACCAGCTGTGTCCCTGGAGTGGCCACCTGTGCCCCTGGAGTGACCACATGTGTCCCTGGAGTGGCCACCACCTGTGTCCCTGGAGTGACCAGCTGTGCCCCTGGAGTGGCCACCTGTGCCCCTGGAGTGACCACGTGTGTCCTTACAGGTGCCAAACCAAGGCTCCCAAAAAACCAAGACATGTGGGAGTGGGAGAGCAGCCAGACTTTGTCTCCAGGCTCCTGAAACATGACCATGGCACCAAAAATTCCCACTCCAGCTGAAGGAAAACTTCACTTAGGAACAGGGCAGGAAGCACAGCAAGGTTCCTCTGAACCCTGAGCTGCTGAACCAGTGACAAAGAGGAAAAAAGTCAGGAAAAGCCCCAAAAACCTGGATTTTAAGCAGAACCCCGTTGATTCCTGGAGGGAAAGCGGGAAGCTGGCTACTCACGGAAGCACTGGGGGATCTCCCCGCTCCAGGAGCCGTTGCCCTCGCAGGTGAGCACGGCGGGGAGGGACAGCTGGTACCCCTCGAGGCAGGCGTAGCTGACGCTGGAGCCCCAGCTGAAATCCGAGCCCACCACCTTCCCGTTGGGAATGGCCTGGGGAGCTCTGCAGGTGATGGCTGCAGGAAAAGGGGGAAAGGGGGAAAACGGGGGAAAGGGGGNAAAAAAGGAAAAGGGGGAAAAGGGGGAAAAGGGGGGAAAGAGAAGGAAAGGGAAGGAAAGGGAAGGAAAGGGAAGGAAAGGGAAGGAAAGGGAAGGAAAGGGAAGGAAAGGGAAGGAAAGGGAAGGAAAGGGAAGGAAAAAAAGGGAGAAACGGTAAAAAGGGAAAAAAGGGAAAAAGGAAAAAAAAAGGGGAAAAGGGAAAAAAGGGAAAAAGGAAAAGCAGGGTCGGGTCTCTCCACCTCTTAAATTATTTCCATTAACAAGCAAATTCTGTGTAGGAGCAAAGTCACCTCCTGCTCTCCAAGAGCATCCCCCAGGATTGGCACAAAGTAGGGTCAAACCCATTGAAGTTTGGAGTTAAATCTCAAATCACAAAATATCTGTGAGAAGGGATCCATGAGGATCATCCAGTCCAACCCCTGGCCCTGCACAGACAATCCCAAAATCCCACCCTGTGTATCCCTGAGACCGTTGTCCAAATATTCCTTAAGATCTTGGGGCTGTGCCCATTCCCTGGGGAGCCTGTTCAGTGCCCCACCACCCTCTGGAGGAAGAATTCTTTCCTATGCATCTCTAAAAATCTGATTTTGGAGTCAGTGCTCGTTCTCAGCTGAAGGTAAAAATCTGCCCTGACATGGTGTGAAAACTCATCCCAGATTTCCCCAAAGATTCACACATTTTGGACAACCTGACTGAGGCTCAGATGAGCAGCTGAAGCCACAACCTGTCAGGTTTTCACCCACTCTGGGGTGTTTTGAGATGACATTTTTGCAGCACTCTGCTTTTCAGCTCAGAGGAGCTAAACCCGTGCCTCCAAATGAGACTCTTGGCCACATTCTGGATCATTCCTGCAGCATTTGCACAGTGCAGAGAATGAAAAAGGAGAGCAAAAATTGTTCTTTACAGCCTCTGAAGGAGCTGGAGTGCATTTGAATGTTTTTATGTGGCCTGTGTTTATATCAGCGCCGTGACAGGTGAATTTTCCAGACTCTTAAAGGAGTACAGAAATGCTGCCACACGTCTTATCTGCACTGGGGTGTGAGCAAAGGAGATCCAGCCTGCCCAGCCACTGCTTTCTTGTTTCCCTTTTCTATCTCTGAACCACAGGAACCATCTCAGAATAATGAAAAGACTCGCAGGGAACATTTTTCAGATGTTCCTGGGTGATGCCAGCAAAGCATCTGCTGGCAAAACACAATATTTCATCCCAGTTTGATGCGAGTTTTTGTGTAAAATCACTTTACTTCCTGGGCTTTGCTCCTTCTCTAGCACAAGGAGAAGAGCAACTCCCACCTCCCTCCCAGGCACAGACTGATAGCCCTGAAGACATCAAGGCCTTCCCTGGAAAATGCCACGAATTTTGGATGGAATGAGGGAGTTGAGGAATGCCCAGCCAGGCTTCCAGGGAAACTGTGGCCTGCAAAACTTGTCTCCTGCAGCATGTCCAGGATTGCTACCTTTGCAGACAGGTTTGGTGCCGTTCCAGGTGCGGTCTCTGGTGCAGGTGAGAGCAGCTGCCCTGTCTGACTCCATCATGAAGCCGGGAGTGCACTGGAACACCACGGATTTGTTGTAGGTGAAGTCGCTGCCCAGCCTGAGCCCGTTGGCTGGCACACCGGGGTCTCCACAGTTGATCACTGCCAAGCAAGGGAAAAAGGAGAATTTCTGGCAGCTGGAACCGTGCCTGTGATGGTCCTGAGCGGGACTGAACCAGTTAAATGTGGAACAGGTTTGTAGCAGGGAGGATGTGGATCCAGCTGGAGCTTAATGGCTCATTAAGGCCTTGCAAGGAGCTGGATTAACACTCATTAAACATTAAAGCAAACCCGGGTCAAACCTGGGTGAAGGGAAGGCAGTTTGCCTACAGCACTCCCCACTTAGCCCAGTTATTGCCTCTGATGTAAATCCACCTTTGCCAGCACCCCCGTTCCAGCCCTTCCCGAGGGTCCCTGAGCCCACACACATCCCTGCCCCAGGAATGGCACACTCAGGAGCAGACCCTCCAGCTCGGCCAACACCCACCCCCAAAATTATTCCAGAGCTCCCCCCATCCAGCTGGAAAAAGACAACCCTGGAGCAAGATTCTTCCATTAGGTCCTGGCAGAATTCCCAGGCTGAGCCGCTGCTGGTGCCAGGCCAAGCTTTACCAGAGTTTCTCGGGGTGCCATGGTGTGTTGGTGCCCCAGGATTTCAGTTTTTCATCTATTTGTAACCCTGCAGTTCTTTAGTGTGTAACTCCAAACTCCACACACAGTGTGAGCTGCTGCTTTCCCATTTGGGTCAGACACAGCAATTCCTCTCCAGGCCTGGCAATCAAGGACACCTCACTGCCTCAGGCCCCCAGAGATGGAAACAAAAGGGAGTTGGGGGCAGCAAACTTGGGGGAAATGACTTCATTACCTGAAGCTGGAATTGGGAGATTAACCCCAATATGCAAATGGCCCAAACTTATAAAAGTGTGAAACCCCTGACCCGTGGTTCATTTTGGGTGCAACCCCTGGGGGGCTTTGTCTGCCTGGAATGTCCCTGAAGGCCCCTCAATAAACAGAACTGCTTTTTATTCCCTGGATTCTGCCTGCCCTCTGTTTTCAGGTGTCCCCAGAAGGCACCACGTGGGCACAGCTGGGCCTGGCAGCTCCTCCCTCCCCTCTCCCTGTGCCAGGGTCCCATCCCAGTGCTCACCAGTGCACTCGGGGCTGGTCCCAGTCCAGGTCCCGTTGACGGTGCAGTGCCTGCTCAGCACCCCTGTGGAGTAATAACCTTCCCTGCACTGGTAGATGATGGAGCTGGAGAACACCAGACCGTCGTTGAAAATCACCCTGGCATTGCTAGGTGTTCCAGGATTCCCACAGGAGATCACTGGGAAGGGAAATGGTGAAATTAAAATTAAAATAAACATAAAACACAAACCAACTCCCAGAACTCCAAGGGTTTCCTCCTGCATTGCCTGTCCTCAGTAAAGGCAAGTTTTGGGGACACGAGAACACTTCTGGGGACAGCAGGGCAATCCTGGGGACATCAGAGGAATTCTGGGGACACCAGGACAGTCCTGGGGACATGAGAACACTCGTGGGGACACCAGGGCAGTTGTGGGGACACGAGAACATTTGTGGGGACACCAGGGCAGTCCTGGGGACACCAGGGCAGCTCTTGGGGACATGAGAACACTTCTGGGAACACCAGGGCAATCCTGGGGACATGAGAACACCTCTGGGGACACCAGAGCAATCCTGGGGACACCAGGGAAGCTCTTGGGGACACGAGAACACTTGTGGGGACACCAGAGCAATCCTGGGGACACCAGGGAAGCTCTTGGGAACACAAGAACACTTGTGGGGACAGCAGGGCAGTCGTGGGGACAGCAGGGCAGCTCTTGGGGTGGCGGCACAGGGATTACCTTCGCATTCGGGCTGCGTGCCGCTCCAGGAGCCGTTGGAATGGCAGATCCTCTCGGAGGAGCCCCGCAGGGTGTAGCCGGGCTCGCAGCTGAACCTCACCACGCTGCCCACGTCAAAGGTGTCCCCCAGGCCAATCCCGTGGGAAGGGATCCCGGGATCACCGCACACACCCTGGCTGCCCCCTGCCCAGGGAGAGCACAGAGTCACCAGAGCCACCAGGGGACAGCTGCTCCTGTCCCTTGCCACCGTCAACAGGAATTCCAGCAGAGCAGTGGAATTCCAGATTAAACATTCCCCAATTCCAGCAGCCCCCTGCTTTTGAGCTGGACACAAACACGGCCACAATTCCCGAATCCCAAGATGAAACCTCCAGCCTCAGTCCCAGGGATGTTTCCCCTCCATGAAGGAATTCCCACATGCTCCAAGGCAGCCCTGCTGTGCTCAGGGAACAAGGAGGGATCAGAACAGGAGAGGAAGGGAAAAGGGAGAAGGGAAAAGGGAAAAGGGAGAAGGGAGAAGGGAGAAGGGAGAAGGGAGAAGGGAAAAGGGAAAAGGGAAAAGGGAAAAGGGAAAAGGGAGAAGGGAGAAGGGAAAAGGGAGAAGGGAGGGAAAAGGGAAAAGGGAAAAGGGAAAAGGGAAAAGGGAAAAGGGAAAAGGGAAAAGGGAAAAGGGAAAGGTTGGGGAAGTTCAGGGAAGTTTAGAGAAGTTCAAGGAAGTTCAGGGAAGGGAAGGGAAGGCAGCAGGAGCCCCCTCCAGGCACTAAGAGGAGGTGATGACCATGAGTGAGTGACCATGGCCCCTTCCCGAGGCCTCTCACCAGAGCAGTGGGGCAGGGAGCCGCTCCAGCGCCCGTCCAGCTGGCACATCCGTGTGGAATTCCCGACCAGGGTGCGCCTGCCCAGGCAGCTGTACCTGACCACGGAGCCCACCGTGTGCTTGTCCCCCGAGATCTGCGCGTGGGGAGGGGACCCAGGGTGGCCACACGACACCACTGCAAGAGAGGCACCAGCTTCAGCCCCCGGGAATTCCAGAATTCTGCCTTGGGGGGACCTTAAACATCAGTTAATTCCAACCCTTTCCATGGGCAGGGTCACTATTCCCCATCCCAGGCTGCTCCAAGTCCTGTCCAGCCTGACCCTGGATTCCAGGGATTCCATTTCCAGCTTCTCCGGGCACCTGTGCCAAAGCCTCCCCACCCTCACAGGGAAGTTCAACACAGGGGAAACAAAACCATGGGAAAACTTTTAACTTTTAACCTCAGGAATCCACGGAATCAGTGGTAAAACCGAACTGAGTTTCTGAATGCCCACAAATCCTCCAAATCCCAGCATTTTAAGGAAGGAGATCCTTTGTACTCAGGGGGGCTGAGGGAGCCTGGGATCAGGTTTTAACAGGAATTCCCTTCCAGCTGTGGGAACATGGATCATCACTCAACAATTCCCCAGGATCCATGCAAGGGGTGAGGACAGGACAAAAGGAATGGAAAATGTGCCCAAAACTGCTTGGTAGGACTTGGTGAGCAGGGATAAACACGGAAAAAACAAAAAGAACAATCCCAGCTTTGGAACAGCTCAAGCCAGTTGGAATTTCCAGAGTTCTGAAGCCATTCCTGAGGGCAGGGAATGGGACTGCAGCTGGTTTAGTGCCCAAAGGGACAAACTGGTCATGCAGGGGGTGGAGCTGCTCCTTCCTGCACCTCCCTGAGGCAGCTAAAATCCACTCTGGATCCTGAATTCCCAGTCTAACACTGGGACTGACTGACTGACTGACTGACTGACTGACTGACTCACTCACTCACTCACTCACTCACTCACTCACTCACTCACTCAGGTGAGCCCTCCCTGTGCTCCAGAGCTGCTCCTGCCCTCTCCACCTGCACTATCCCAGCAGGATCCTCTCCTCAAACCCCAAAATCCATCAGCATTCCACCCAAAACCCCCCAAATCCATCAGGTTCTGCCTGTCCCTACACAGAGAATGCCCCCAGAAGTATCCCTCTCCTCTCCTCAACCCCTAACTCCCTTGCCTGTGAATCTCCTGAAAGCACTGGGATCATTCCCACGTGCATTTTTGGGGGGGGTTTCCCTCCTGAACCCTGCTAAACCCTGTGGGATGAGCAGCTGGGCTGGACAGGGAGGGCTGGGGCCACTTACAAAGGCACTGGGGGAGGGCTCTGTCCCACGTGCCATCGCCCTGGCACGTCAGGACGTGTGTTCCCAACAAATAAAATCCGTGGATGCACTGATAGGACACAGTGGTGCCGAAGCTGAACCTGTGGGGGCCGCTGGGCTGCACTTGCCGGACGCTGTTTTCCAGGTGCCCAGGGTCAGAACAGTTCACAACTGCGAACAAACAACAGAATAACACCCGAAAAATAATGGGAAGCAAAGGGTGGGGCAGAAAAACGTGGGATTATCAAAAAAAAAAAAAAAAAAAAAAAAAAAAAAAAAAAAAAAAAAGTAGAAAAAAAGGTGGGAAATTGAAGATTTTGTACTGTGATTTAAGTTTTGGGGTTTTTTTCCCCCGAGATTTTGAGGGTGGGAGTGGAAAAATTCCTTGTGAAAAGTGGGAAAAAAGGGAGTCCAGGCAATCCTGCAGGTTCTCACCAAGCAGCAGAGCCTTGATCTCCAGCCTCAAATTGGGACTTAGATTATCCAGCTGGGAATAACTGATCCCAAACTGGGATTTGCACCATCCAGCGAGGAATAGCCGATAATCCAGCATGGCCAGAGATCCTGGATTAGGGGAATGCAGAGGGAGGGAGTGCAGGGAGGGGATTTGGGAAGTGAACCTGAGTGCTGATCCTGTGGGAAAAAGGGAACAGAGCTCTGCACAAAGCTGTGGCAGTGGAGCAAAAGCTGCTCCAGGGTGTCTGATCCCAAATTTCCTTGTGTTCCCCCCACTTCCAGCACACTCCAAGCCTTGGAGAACGCAGCCAGGAGAGAAAATCCCAAGGTTTGATCCATGGTATTTACAGCAGCCCTGGGATCTCCAACATCCCCTGGGTGGTTTACAGGGATTTCTGGCTTGGGAACACGGAGAATTGCCAGAGGAAGGCCCAGACTGACCTCGGCAGGAGGGCAGGGTGCTGCTCCACTGGCCGTTGGCCAGGCACTGGGATTGGGAAGCTCCCTCCAGGCGGAAGCCGGGGTTGCACTGGAATTTGGCCACGTCGTTGAGGTTGAACTGGGAGCCCTGGGTGACGCCGTTGGGGGGGTTGCCAGGGTGCCCACAGGTGATGGCTGCAAGCACAAAATGCAAATGTCACTTGATTTATTCCTGAGAAAAAAGTGGAAAAAGTTCTGGAGGTAGGAGAGCATAGAAACCCCACACATCAATCCCAAAACCCAAAGATTTGGGGCCTGCTTTGTTGAGATACGGGATCACATTGAGAGAATGGGATTTTTGTACGTTTTACTGGCACCAGGTATTCCCTGCACCCCTCTCCAGGATCCCACTGATTTACACCACATACCCCTCTCCAAAAATCCCAGCTCCTGATCTTAATCCCACACCACCCCCGGCATCCCAAACTCTGTTGCTCCCTCCCTCTTTCCCCATGCCAGTCCTGCCTGCTCCCTGCAGGGAAAAGTTGTACCTGGAAGCAGAGGGAAAAGAGGGAAAATAGGAGGAAAATCAGGAGGAAAATCAGAATTCCAGCACAGGGCTTGAAGAGATGAAATCTGCCCCAGTGGGAGAAACTTTGTGGGAAAATTTTACTTCCAAATCCCTGAAGTGATGTTTCTGGAGTTTGGTTTTTTCCCCCCTGAGGTTGGTGTTGGCTCAGGATGAGGTGAAGGGCACAGGAGCTGCTCTGGCAACTCCCAGGGAAGCAAAGACGATTCCAGCATCCCAAATAGTTCTGGGAAGTGGCTGGAACACTGTGCTGTCACCTCAGCAGGTGACACAGGGAGGGCACTGCCCTGCTGCTGGCACAGCCTTTGATTCCAGCCATGTCCATGGCACAAAAGGAAACTCGGGATGAGCCATCGGGAGATTCTTGGCTGCCTAAGGGATGTGACATCCTGGGACAGCTGAGGACAAAGCTTTATTGATCATTGTCACACGGAATGTCCCGATTTGTCCATCAGGACAAATCTGGTTTTCCTGGACAGCTGCCAGCAGCAGGAGATGGAAGGAAAGATGAAATTCCCACAAAAGACCCGTAACAAATCTGACTGCCCAGGCTGGGCTGGAGCACGGGGATGGGGATTTATTCCTGATCCAAGCTGGTGACAGGAATAAATGAGGAATATGGAGTGCTGCAGGAAGCAGAGCCAGGTTTGGGATATCGTTACACATGTTTGGAAACAGGAGGGATTCTGTCCCTGGAAAAAAAAAAATGGATCCAGTTCCATGGATCAAACAGAGGAGGTGACTGCAGCAGGCTGGGAGGGGAAATAGCAGGAGAACAGGGAATGGTGCTGTGCCCTGAGTGGGGTCAAAAAGGTCCTGAGGTGCCTCACTGCAGAGCACACCAGAGCTCAGATCAACAAACCCAAATTTCTGCTCTCCCCAAGGCCTAATGTGTGTAGTAACTCAGAATTCCAGAATGGAATGGGATGGAAAGAGGTTTAAAGCCCATCCCATTCCAGCCCCTGACATGGGCATGAGAGTAAATTCCACCCTTTCCACAATTCTTTTCCAAAAAATCTCTGGTCCTCTGGTGTCTGAGGACCTCAGACACCCCCCAGATTTTGGAGTCACTTCTAACTTTGCCAACTTAATCCTTATTTTTTGTTTTCTGGCTGGATTCTGCCAGGTCATTCCCTCCTCCCATCTTCTTCTTCTTGTGCCCCAGCACAGAAAGCTCCAAGCCAGACCACAGAGATGGGAACAAACAACTGGAGCACCACGATATGAAATCCAGGGATTGTGCTGCCTGTTGATAAGAAGATGCTTCAACTTATCAACACCTGAGAGCTGCAGGGAGTTGGTTAATTGGGTTATTTCCTGGGAAGATAAATGAGGAGGTTGGACAAGGTGATTTGGGGGAGAGCAGAGGAGAGATCCTCATTTTCCATGGACACGGAGCGCAGCTCTCAGGGACAGTGATCACCAGGGTGTGTTTGTAGGGCCCTGCCTGCCTTTAACACCCTCTGACCCCAAAAAATCTCCTCTCCTCCAATCCCACACCTTCAGCTGGGCTTGAGAAGGAGAAATTCACTGGAATTTCTGAAGTACAAAGGATCTTTTCTTGGAGAGACCCAGTGATGATGCTGCGAAACACCCAAAACGCGCGTGCATGGCCACCCCACACCCTGGGGCTGTGAGCTCTGCCCAGTCCCTTGCACAGCCTCAGCTGGCTGGAATTCTGTGTGGCTCAGCACAGCACAGGAACTCTCCCTCCCAGAGCTGAAGGCATGACAAGTACTTACGCACACAGACAGGCGTTTTCCCGGACCAGCGGTGATCCTGCTGGCAGATGCGCACGGACATGCCGATCAGGCGGAAGCCGGGCTGGCACTGGTACACCACGCTGCCCCGGTAGTTGTAGTTCTCCCCGTTGATCTGCCCGTTCACAATGGGGCTGGGCACGCCGCAGTGCCCGGCTGGGGAGGGGAGAACAGCAGGAATCACACGCAGATCCCACCTAAGGTGTCCCCAAAAGGCATCGCCCGTCCCCTGGATCTCCGCGGAGTTGGGTGGAGAGAAGCCCAGACTGGTTTGGGTTGGAAGGGAACGTAAGGATCGTCCACAGGGACACCTTCCACCATCCCAGGCTGCTCCAAGCCCTGTCCAAGCTCTTTGGACACTTCCAGCGATGGGGCAGCCACAGCTTCTCTGGGCATGGATAGGGTTCAGAGATGCCCAGACTGGTTTGGGTTGGAAGGGAACGTAAGGATCATCCACAGGGACACCTTCCACCATCCCAGGCCAGTCCAAGCCCTGTCCAAGCTCTCCTTGGACACTTCCAGGGATGGGGCAGCCACAGCTTCTCTGGGCAGTCCATGCCCGTTGTTTACAAGGAAGAATTGCATCCCAATATCCAAACCTGTCCTCTTTCAGCTCCGGGCTGTTAACTCCAGACTCTGCTGTCATAAATAAACATCCCCATCCCAGAGCTCTCCCAACACCTCACGCCTGTTGAGGGTGCAGGAATCAAACCCTGCTTCCCTCTTACATCCACTTAAAACCTCGCAGCACAGATTCCTCCTCTGATCAGTCCCCAAAATCCTCCCTCCCAAGGCGCCCTCAGGAGCCCTTCCCACACCCTGTGGGTGACAGCAGGAGTTTCCCAGGGGACACCTGCCCTTCCCACACCCTGTGGGTGACAGCAGGGGCTTCCCAGGGGACACCTGCCCTTCCCACACCCTGTGGGTGACAGCAGGGGCTTCCCAGGGGACACCTGCCCTTCCCACACCCCATGGGTGACAGCAGGGGCTTCCCAGGGGACACCTACCCAGACACCGGACCTCAGCCCCGCTCCAGAGCCCGTTGGCCATGCACTCCCGGACCCGGGAGCCCACCAGGGTGTAGCCAGTGTTGCAGGAGAAGATGGCAGTGGCTCCATAACTGGTGAGGGTCCCGATCTTGTTCCCGTTGGGAGGGGTGGGCAGCTCCCCACAGGAGATAACTAGGACAGATCCCAAAGGATATTGAGAAAACAGGCTGGGAGGGATGGATTTTGAAGGAATGCCTCCAGAAGTTATTGCTGGAGTGGGAAAGTTCATTAAATAATTCCAGGAATTGTAATAATTCCAGAGCCATGTTAGATGAGGTGACAAAAATAAGAATTGTTAATATTTATGGTTCAGGACATGAGGGAAGCACTAAAGACAGGCTGGGAAGGAACCAAAGGAGTTTTTCACACCAGAGCTTGCTCACACAGGAATATTTTTCTGTCATTAACCCTGGATGCAGCAGGAAGCCCAGAAAACCCACAGAATCATGGAATGGGGTGAGTTGGAAGGACTTTAAAGGCCATGAGCAGGGACATCTCCTAGGCCAGGTTGCTCCAAGCCCTGTCCAACCTGACCTTGGAATGGCACAAAGTTTCCAGCTAAAAGTGACACTCAGCTTTCCCCCCACAAGCTGAAATTCCAGGATCTGCAGATCCCAGCTGGGTTTGGGGGATGCAGGAGCCTCTGCAAACCCAGCTCCCCCTCAGAACTCCAGCTCTCGATTTTATCTTCATTTTCTCCACCTTCAAGCTCTGCAAATCCTCTGGAGCCCCTGCTGGGCATTCCTAACCTCGGGGCACTGCCAAGATCCTGTCACTTGGATTTAGGTGGCAATAAGGCTGAGGGAACAAAAGGAGGTCAGGCTCCTGCTCCCAGAGCTGGAGGAAGAGCTGGCAGGGGGAAAAGTACATCTGTCACCCACGCCGGCAGTCACAGCTCCAAAAACAAAGGCAGGCAGCAGGGAAGGAGAGATTTCACTGTCTCTGTCTGCACTTGGAGAGAAAAACCCTCCACCTCTGACAAAAGGAGAGATCCAAAGCACAGCAGTGGTGTTAGAACAACTGAGAGCTGCTGGGGTGCCCCATTGGGTTTGATTTGCAGGTGACACTGTTACCCTTTGTAAACCTGGTGTTTGTGTGAGAGCTGAGGCTTGACAGCAGAATTCTTTATTCTTCCTCCTTAAAAGCCCTGACTTCAGAGCAGCTGTGACAGCAAAGCTGCTGGGACCCCACAGCAACAGCTGAGCTGAAGGGCTTGAGATCCCAGAGAAGTGCTGGGATTAAATCAGGGATCAGATCAGGGAGTAGATGTCTCCCTGTACCCCAACTCTCTTCCAGAAGCTCTGCTCTCTCCACCTCAGCTGCTACCAGGAGTAATTTAGTCCCACCTCACAGCAGGGACACCTTCCATTATTCCAATTTGCTCCAACATGACCTGGGACACTTCCAGGGATGGGGCAGCCACAGCTTCTCTGGGAAATCCATCCCAGCCCCTCCCTGCCCTCACAGGGAAGGATTTCCACAAATGCCCAAAAGACCAAACCACGCTCCACAGCTCCACCTCAGCTGCTGCCAGGATTAATAATTCCACCCCACAGCAGGGACACATTCCACTATTCCAGATTGTTCCAACATGGCCTGGGACACTTCCAGGGATGGGGCAGCCACAGCTTCTCTGGGAAATCCATCCCAGCCCCTCCCTGCCCTCACAGGGAAGGATTTCACCCCAAAACCTGCACCAAACCATCTCACAAATGCCCCCCAAAATCTGCACCAAACCATTCCATCCTGCACCCAAATCTCCTTGATTATCCGTGCTCACCCACCAGCAGCATCCTGAAACCCCCAGGGGCTGGGATCTGCTGACCCCAAACCCACACCCAGCCCACGGTGCCACCCCGGGGCGCCCCTGCTCTTACTTTTACAGGTGGGCACGGGCTCCCCGATGCTCCAGGTGCCGTTGGCCTGGCAGCGGATGACCCTCTGGCCCGTGTAGTAGTAGCCAGGGTCGCAGATGAGCATCAGCTGGGCGTTGTAGTGGTAGTGCACCTCGTAGGTGAGGCGCCAGCGGCCGTGCTCCACCGCGATGCTGCCCACGTCAGGGCACGTCACGGCTGAGGGGCACAGAAACAGCACACAAAGGGTTAACTGAGCTTTCACCCCCCCCACCCAAAAATCCAGCTGTGGTGGGTTTTTAATGAGGGGAATATCCCCTGGTGGGGAGGCTGCTGAGAACTGAAAGGAAAACTTTCAGGAGGGTGTTAAAAGTGGTGATGTTGCCTGAAATCCAAAGAGAAAAACCCCTTGCAGTGGTGTTGAAATCATAAAATAAAGGGCAGAGCTTGATTTGGAAGTTTCCAGGGATACCTGGTCATCCAATTTCCACAATTTGATATGGTTAATTAATTAGGATTTCTAACAGCTACATCCCATGGGAGATTCAGCTGCTGATCCACCCCTTGGAGTTTCTTTACCCCATTTCTTGTTATGTCTTCCTTTGCGTCCCCGGCTTGGAAATAAAACTAAACAATATTTCAGGAATGTGTTAGAAAAGTCAGCTCATTGCTCTAAAATCTAAGAGAAAAGGTAGAAAAATACCAGGAGCTCCTTAACTATAGAATGGGATTTTCCCGAGCTAAAATATAGGGAAAAATTTACAGAGATAAATATAGGAAAAATACAGAAAAAGCAAAAATCTCGAGGCAGCAGTAACATAAAGAGCAGTTCTTTAAGGAAAGATTTCAGGTGCACAAATTATAAGGATGTGCACACCCAGCATGGGATTTTTCCCAATTTTTATAAGTTTAATTAATTATACATCCAGGAACTACATCCAATGGGAGATTGGTTATCCTGATAACCAACCCTTGGAGTAACCAACCCCTTACTGGAGTCCCTCCAAGGGCTCCTTCACCCTCTGTTCTGTTCTGTGAAACTGAATGTCCTTGTTAGAAATTCTTTTAGAAGTTCTAGAATTGTTGGAAATTCTAGACATTTTAGAACTGTTAGAAATTCTTTTCTTGAAAAAAAGAGCAAACAGAATGTCAAGAACGTGAGCAAGGGTAACCACTGTTCTGAAGGGTGAGAAAGTGCAAGAAACTGCACATTTCTATATTAAAAATCTATGAAGTTACAAAGACATCAAAAAGCTAAAAGTCCTAAGGCATCAGGGCAGGTGGGAAACCACCACACCATGAGATTTAATTTCTGCAGTAATTCACCATAAAACCCTGATGTGCCCTGAACACCACAGCTGTGGGGCAAAGCTGTTTGTTCTGCAGGTGGAACGGACACACCACTGCTGATGCCTCAGGATTTCAGTTTTTCTATTCTTCATCTATTTGTAACCCTGCAGTTCTTTAGTGTGTAACTCCAAACTCCACACACAGTGTGAGCTGCTGCTTTCCCATTTGGGTCAGACACAGCAATTCCTCTCCAGCCCTGGCAATCAAGGACACCTCACTGCCTCAGGCCCCCAGAGATGGAAACAAAAGGGAGTTGGGGGCAGCAAACTTGGGGGAAATGACTTCATTACCTGAAGCTGGAATTGGGAGATTAACCCCAATATGCAAATGGCCCAAACTTATAAAATTGTGAAACCCCTGACCCGTGGTCCATTTTGGGTGCAGCCCCTGGGGGGCTTTGTCTGCCTGAAATGTCCCTCAATAAACAGAATTGCTTTTTATTCCCTGAATTCTGTCTGGCCTCTGTTTTTAGGAGCCCCAAGAAGGCATCCCTGCTGTCTGGACACCCCAAATCCACACTCACCCATGCAGAGAGGGGGCTGGTTCCCGTTGCTCCAGACTCCCTCCTGCAGGCACTCGGTGCTGGGCTGGGCTCCTGGCTGCAGCTGGAAGCCCTGGTTGCACTGGTACACGGCCTTGGTGCCCACCGTGTACTCCTTCCCAAACACAACCCCGTTCCTCGGCGCTCGGGGAACTCCACACGAGAGAGCTGGGAAGAAAAAAAACACCCCCCAAAAAATAAAATAATATAAAATAATATAAAATAATATAATATAAAATAATATAAAATAATATAAAATAATATGAAATAATATAAAATAAAATAAGATAAAATAATATAAAATAATATAAAATAGATAAAATAAAAATATAAAATAAAATTAAAAATATTAAATAAAAATATAAAATAAAATCAAAAATATAAAATAACAGAAAATAACAGAAAAGAAAATAAAAGAACAGAAAAGAAAAAAAGAAAATGAAAAATAAAATAAAATAAAATAAAAAAAAAATAAAATAAAATAAAAAAGTAAAAAAAGTAAAAAATAAGTATAAAATAAATATAAAAATTAAATAAATAAAATACAAATAAAATAATAAATAAAATAAATAAAAATTAAAATTAAAAAAATTAAAAAATAAAAAAAGGAAAAAATAAAATAAAATAATATAAAATAAAATAAAAAAATAAAATAAAATAAAAAATAAAAATATAAAGTAAAATAAAATAAAAAATATAAAAGAACAGAAAAGAAAAAAGAAAAGAAAAAAGAGAAGAAAAAAATTAAGTAAGATAAAATAAAGTAAAATAAAGTAAAAAAAGTAAAAGTAAAAAATAAATATAAAATAAATATAAAAATTTAAAAAATAAAATCCAATAAAAAATAAAATAAGAAATAAAATAAATAAAAAATCAAAATAAATAAAAAATAAAAAATAGAAAAATAAAAAAAAAAGAAAAAGAAAAAAGAAAAAATAAATTAAAAAAGGAAAAAATAAAATAAAATAAAATAAAATAAAATAAAATAAAATAAAATAAAATAAAATAAAATAAAATAAAATAAAATAAAATAAAAATCAGAGAGCTGCTGGTTTTATCCCAAACTGAAATCCCGGATCCTGAACTTTCCTACTGACAAACCCCAGCTGCCGTGGCAAGTGCCCTTCATTAAGGATCAGCTTTTACATCAGCAAAGGCAATCCTGAAGCCCAGTTTCTTTCTCCTGGAAGAGGCTCTGGCCCACGGTTCCTGTAATATCTGCACCACAAGATGCATCAGCAGAGCGCTCCCGAGCCTCCACAGGGAGAGAAGGACCGGACAGCAGGAACACTTCGTGTTTCCACCCCACAGCAGCACCGACCCCAAACCCCTCTCCAGGAGCACTTCTGCATTACATAAGGCAGCAAATTGTGTAATTATGTTGTGGCAGAAGGAAGGCTAAATTTATCCTCACGGCTGAGGAGGTAGAGGGGGGAATTGAGGGGAAAAATGGAAAAGCGGGCGCAGTGCCAGGCGGCTGCTGGAGATGGCAGCGCTCCAGAGGAGAGGCTCTGCACCAGCCCCGCTGGAACTCCTGCCTCTGGGGCAGGGCAGGGAGGGGACAGGCAGGTGACAGCCAAAAAAACACCCACAATCACAGCCATTTATGCTGTTACCCTTTTTCCCAACTGTTATAGATACATATTATGTTGTTGGCTTTTCGCAAATATTAAAATGAATGTTATGCGTATAAGATTGGAAAATTTTGTTGTATTAATATAGTTTCCTTTATTTCTCTTACTGATGAAACTTAGAAGTAGTGGTATAATACAAATATGTTAGGCTATGGCATAGTATTAAAATAAAAATTGCTTTTGTTTGTATAAACCAAAGACTGAAAAAGATAGTTAGAGACCCCCTGCATTTGTAAACTATCTAATCCAGATGAGGACAGCAGTGACCAGAGCTCTGGGGGAGGAATTTATTGCATTTCTGTGATCAGAGAATGTAAATCTCGATGGTGCCAAGAAGATTGATCTATTGGGAAGGGGGCAAGGAAAAACTAAACAGAGGAACACCACAGATCCTGAGAAGAATGTCTGAATATGTATGAGAATTTATGGATATGTAGTAGGGTTCTGTTTTTAAGGGACAATCCTTCGTTAGTAGGTGTGCTCTCTTGGCTGAATGCAGAGACACCTGGCCATATCTGTATACTTTATTTTTATCTCCTAATTGTCTTTTTATTAAACTTTTAAATTTTATAAAAAATATGTGAACCTCGTTTTTCACACCAACCCTGGGAATGCCAGCACTGGGAAATGTCCCCAAATCTGCTTCTCCAGCAGCATGAGGAGGAGGGAAAGCAAACCTAGATCTGACTGCAAAGCTGTGGTCCCCATCCCTCCCAAAGCCTGGCTCTGGGGAAGAGAGATCCACATCCCTCCTGTCTGGACACGGTGGGATGCCCACGGGAAGGGCAGCCAGGACCTGGGAAGCTGCACTGGGAAGTTCCTCTGTGGGGCTGGGAGAGGAGCAGGAGCTGCCAGGAGACACAGCCCTAACTCCTGACCCCGATATCTGCCCGTGCTTCCAGACAAAGCCATTCCCTCCTGGAGCAGCCCCAGCTCAGCTCCAGAGCCACCCCAACACACAGGCCTTCTTGGTGTTCCCTGAGCACAGAAACAGAGCTGCAAAAGCAGGAAAGGTCACTTTTGGTGACATGGAACTGAGTGAGGGCCAGAGAGCCTCTCTCTTGTGAGGCTGTGCAGCAGCAGCACAACCCTGGGTCTTTCCCCGTGCAAGGCCCAGCTTTTATCCCCCTCCTGGGACTGAGCAGGGTCCCAGAGCAGCTGGCAGTGCTGGCACTGTGATGGCTGTGAGCAGCTCCAGAGGCAGGATCAGGCCCAGCCCTGGTGGCACCGATGGTGACAGGAGTGCCACTGCAGCAAGCCCAGGGATGGACAATCCCTCTCCAAGGCCTGGTGTCTAGACAGGCTGTCATGCTGAATACCAATGGCCCTCCCAGGGAAAAGAGGGCATGTGGAAAATCCAACCTTTTCCCTGCTATCTCTGCTATTCCTTTTTCCTGCATCCAGCCACGGAGGGTGGGGGGGAAGCTGAGCCCTTCCCATCCCCACCAAGGCCTGCTCCTTTCTGCTTTTCATTCCCTTAATCCTTCCAAAAAAAATTGTCCCTTTTGTTTATCCCCAGGAAACTGAGGCACAGGGAGGGACAGGAGTTCCAGGCTGGCAGGGCTGAGCTGCCTCTTGCCTCCCTCCATGGAAAGGAGTTTAAATCCCATCCCACCCCCTGCCTCAGGGACACCTTCCCCTATCCCAGGCTGCTCCAAGCCCTGTCCAACCATGCCCTGGGCACTTCCAGGGATGGGGCAGCCACAGCTTCCCTGGAAAACCCATCCCAGCCCTCTCCACCCCCACAGGGAGGAACTTCTTCCCAGTCTTTAACCCAAACCTGCTCTCTGACAGTTTAAAACCAGGATTAAGTTTTTCTTTACAGAAGTAGTGACATTTGATTTTTGGGGTGGCAACAAACCAATTTCTGAGGCTCAGCCTGTGGGCATTGCAACCCACTGGAATCTGGGAAGAGGGAGGTTATTCCACAGGGAATCAAACCAGCATTTGGCTCAGAAAAACCAAGGGAAAAAGGGGAAGGCAGAGGCTGGGAAAAGCAAATCTGCAGCTGGGATTGCAAAGACAAAGCTCCTTAAAAACAGAGACAGCAAAGGCACAGCAGCACATGGAGTGTGTGCCCTCTGTGCCAAGGCAGGATTGTTCCCTGCAGAATATTCCAGAAATGTCAGTGAGGACAGAGCACACAGGGGAGATTATTCCAACGGGACGAGGAAGTGGGAGAGGATTCTGAGCTGGCAGAAAGGAGATTTGGGAAATGTCATTTGAGAATTTATGTTTATCGGCACCCTAGGCCCTCCTTCCTGACACGGCTGATGAGGGGAACAATTCCTGCAGCTCCATGCAAAGAATTCCCAAATCTCTGTCACCCAAAAGGGTGGGAATGACACAGCCCAAAGCAAAAGATGCCAGTTGGCTTTGAGAGGTGTGGGGACAGAAAAATGCTGGATTTGATGTGGCTGAAGGGAGCAGGAGAGGAGCCAGTCCAGGCCTGGGGGTGGAGCTGCTCTGCCAGGAATTATCCTGAAAACCCTGAATCCTGCCTCCAGCACAAGGCACAGGAGAGCCACGGGCCAGTCTCAGGATTCCTGACAGGAATATGAGGACACTGAGGGGAAAAGTGACTCTTTCCACCTCAGGATGTGACACAAACAGCAAGTTCTCCCAGCTGTGGGAGTCAGGCTCTTCCAGAGAGACATCCAGCAGCAAGATCCTGACCTGTGTGGTCAGTGGAGACATTCTGACTCCTCCAAAAAGATAAATGAATCAGGGATCCACCTGGAATGCAATGGATTGCCCCCAGATTCCTGCTCTGCACTCCAGACTGTGCCCATGGGGCTCCTGCCACGTCACACCTTCAGCAGAACCGGAGCAGTGCAGGATTTCCCATGGAAAATCCCCTTCCCAAAACACAGCCCTGGGATGCTGAGCACCATCACAGGAGCTTCCCAACATTCCCAGGCCTAGGAGTGACTCCAAGCCCCTCTCTGGTGGTCAGGGACATATCCCTGCTCTGAAATGTGGCTGTGGTGTCACTCCAGCCATTCCCGCCTTTCCCTCCATCTCTTCCCCACCTCCAGGTTTAAAATCCTCTCCTCTCACGCCACCACACCCCTTGGAAGCTGGGCATGAAGCTCAGGTGGGATTTCTACCTCTCCAGGGCAGTGAGGCCTTGGCAGGATCCAGACCCATTCCTGATGACACAGTTTTCCTTAAAAAAGGTGGAGCAAAGCAGAGGAATGCCTCAGGCTGGGCTAAGGATTCAGGAGGCACAGTTGCCATGACAGCCCTGGCTGTGCTGTTCATCTGCTCATCCCAGCTCTCAGTTTTGCCCTGTCCATGCTTTCTGGGAGCTAAATCTCTCCCTGAGCTGGTGTCCAGATTCCCTTTGGAATGGGATGGAGCAGCAGGGCCTTGCTTTATCGCTTCCCACTCATTTTAAATCAACTCCAGAGCACTCACAGCATCAGGCTCTCCTTCAGAGGTGCAATTCCTAAAGAACCAAAGTGATTCAGGAGCCTTACAAGGCTCCCTGGCACCTCCCACATGGAACAATCCCACTTTTCCTGACGGCTTGGCCGGGTCAACAATGCAGAGACCGTGCCTGAGCCATCTCTGCTCTCCAGGGAAGTCAGTGCAGTATCAATCCCCAGCCTCAGTCCCCCCGGAGCAGGGATGAGTGTTCAAAGCCAGCAGCAGGCTCCTTCAGAATAAAGATGGGAATTTTAGCGCTATAAAGGAGCCGGGATGACAGGCAGGTGGAGGGAGAGGGAGGGAGAGGGAGCATTCCTGGGCACAGAGCCCCATCCCACCTCCTTCCCATGCCTGGAATTCGCTCTGTGCCGGGCAGGATGTGGCACAGAGAACCCGAGAAACATGGAAGGAACAACTCCATGCCTCAATCTTGGATGAAGCCAACGGGAACCACCTGAATCCCCAAGAATTCCTTCCCCTGCTGACATGCACACAGCTAAGAAGGCACTTCCCGAACAACTGGGAAGGGAATTTCAGTCAGGAAGCAGAGCAGCTCTCATGCTGCCGGCAACCTTTCCAGATTCTTCCAAGCCTTTTGGATTCTTCCAAGCTTCTCCCGAGTGAGGCTTGGCTGTGCCTCCACCGAGTGACCAAACACTTCCACACCAAGAGCTTCCACACAGATGGGGATATTTTTCCCCCCCCATTTCAAGTCCTTCCCTCTTTGCCCACTCCCAGTTTCTCCCTTGCCTCTTTACCCATCTATTCCCAAAGCCTTGGACACGAGGAGCACTCCTCAGTGCCCACCTGCAGCTCCAAGCCTGTTCTCAAGATGGAATTACAGGAATTCCAATAGTGGCATCTTCACACAGATGAGATTTTCCTCCCCCATCCTGAGCCCTTCCCTCTTTTCCTGCTCCTAGTTATTCCCTTCCATCTTTGCTCCCCTATTCCCAAGGTCTTGGACATGAGGAGCAGCCCCCAGTGCTCTGAGCCTGTTCTCAACATGAAATTACCAGAATTCCAATATTGCTTTGGATTTTTTTCACCATCTTTTCCACCGCTTCTCTGGGGACTCCTGGAACTCCATCCCAACCCGTTGCTGCTCTCACCTTGGCACAGAGGGATGGCTTCCCTCCAGTGGAAGTGTCCCTGGGGGTGCTGGGTGCAGGTGGTGGTGCTGTGTCCCACCAGGCGGTATCCGGCGTCGCACGCAAAGCGCACGGAGCTGCCGGGGCGCAGCCCGGAGCTGCTCAGGATCATCCCGTGCGCTGGGGGCTGCGGGAGGCTGCAGTAGGGAGCTGGAAAGGGGGACAGCAAAAAGCAGATCAATCACAGGATGAGCAGCATCAGGGTCATTCCTGTCCCACCTCCAGGAATTACACTGAGCTTCCCCAAAAAAAGGGGGATTTGCAATGGATAAACACGGGCTCTGTCTGAGCCTCACCCAGCTCCAGGAATAAGGAGTCGTTTCTAGTAATTAAATATTCCTTAATTCATTTACTGAGAGAAGTCTGCACAGACTTTTCCAGTGCCTGACCACCCCCTCATCCAGAAACCTTTCCCAATATCCAGCCCTTGGCATCCACATCAGGCTCCTGATTCTGAAGAGTGGTTGGGAAATGAGCTAAAGCTCCAAGGTTTCTCCCTGGAATTTCTCCTGATCCCACAATCCTGGTCCTGATTGTTACAGAGTGATGAGACACAAGCCAAAGCTCCAAGGTTTCTCCTGGATGGACCCTGCCTTTCCCAACCTCCCCAGCTCGGAACGCGCCCGGCTTTGTGCCTCCCCAGCCTTGGCAGCTCCTGCTCTCACAGCTGGATCTCTGCAGGAATTCCATGGATTCTCCTGGCTGTGTGTGGAGCTGCTCCTGGCAGAGCAGAGACTCACCGGAGTAGCGGATTTTGAAGCCTTTCCTGTTGTAGGCGTGGTCGGAGGACCAGCGCAGGAAGACACTGTTCCCGCTGCTGGTGACGGTCAGAGGGGCCGAGTAATTCCCACTCAGGGACAGCAGCAGGGGGCTCTGCCCAGAGGGACCTGGGAGGAACGAGGGGACAGGGAAAAGGGAAAAGTCACAGGAGCCACAGAGCCACGGCGGGGGTTCGGTGTCCCTGCAGGAGGAGCAGGCACAGGGAGCTGTCCCTGAGGAAAGGCGGCTCCCAGCTCCCTGTGGACATGAGCTCCATGGCTCACTTCTGCTCCTGGGAATCCAGGAGCAAAGCTGATCACAGGAAAACCAGGATTTGCTCCAGGCAGGAGCTCAGGTCCCCATGGTGACCCCACCCCTGTGGCCCTGGGAATCCCCTCCACGTTCCCAAGAAATGGGCCTGGAGAATCTGCTCCCTGTGGCCTTCAGGGATGAGAATTCCCACTTTCCCAATTCACAGGAGTTCCCCAACTCCCACTCCTTGGAAAAATCCTTCAGATCCGTCCAAAAGATCAGATTACAGCCATTTCCTTATGCAAAAATCCTTCAGATCCATCCAAAAGATCAGATTACAGCCATTTCCTTATGCAAAAATCATTCAGATCCATCCAAAAGATCAGATTACAGCCATTTCCTTATGCAAAAATCCCATTTCCTTATGCAAAAATCCTTCAGATCCATCCAAAAGATCAGATTACAGCCATTCCCTTATGTAAGGAATCTGCGAGGAGCTTTCTGGAATGCCAGCAGGAGGTTCCAGGTGGGAAGCTGGCCCTGGAATGCTCCTTCCCCCTTGACTGCCATGGGATTATGGAACCCCAGGAAGGTTTGGGATGGAAGGACCCCACAGGTCAGATGGGTGAATCTCTTACCATCGAAGATTTCGAACTCATCAAACTGCTTCTCACTGAGGAAGTACTCAATGGTGAGGGAGATGTTGTACCCTGGCTCCACCTTCACCACCCAGGAGCAGGTCTGGAAGTGGGGGTAACTTCCCAGGAAGCTCTGGCTTAGGATCACCCCGGTGGAATCTGTCATCAGCTGGTTCATGGGGCAGTGCACTGGGGATAGAAATGAATATTCCTGGTTTGTCAGAGGAGGGATGGAAGCACAAGGTTTGTCCTGATGAGCCAGAGCATGACCCCTGCACTCCTTGATCCCTGGGGCTCGAAGAACCCCCAAATCCTACAAATCCCAACAATTATCACACTTAAAGAAAGGAGCAAAACGCAGCAAAGCCAACAAACCATTCCCACTGCCTTGGCTTCAGTTCCCACCTCTCCCAAAAGCAGCAGCACCACAACCAGAACTCTCCTGAGGCACAAAAACCCCTTCAGGAATCCCTGGAACTACAGCCCATCCCATGGAATTCATGAGAACTCCAATTCCTGCTCAGGGAGCGTCTCACTCCCTCCTCCCAAAATCCCACACTCCTTTGGAGATCCAAAAATTAACCCCAAGGATGAAAAATACACCGGAAAAACCTCCCCAGCTCCTTCCCTGAGCAGGGAAATCTGGGATTTATGGGAGCTGTACCTTCACAGGTGGGTGGGGGTCCCTCGAACTGCAGGTGGGTGCCCAGTTTGCAGGTGAGGATTTCATTCCCGATCAGGGTGAAGCCGGGAAGGCACCGGTACCTCACGATGTCACCTGGGAAGGGATGGAAAACAGGCATGGGAGGGGGAAATGCACAAAAATAGGGGAAATTTTGGGATAAAAGGTGGAAGAGAGGGATAAAAGCGGGAAATGCAGGGATAAAAGCTGGAAATACAGGGATAAAAGCAGGAAATGCAGGGATAAAAGGGGGAAATGCAGATATAAAAGTGGGAAATGCTGGGATAAAAGGGCGAAGTGCAGGGATAAAAGCAGGAAATGCAGGGATAAAAGGGGGAAATGCAGGGATAAAAGTGGGAAATAGAGGTATAAAAGGGGGAAATGCAGATATGAAAGTGGGAAATGCAGGGATAAAAGCAGGAAATGCAGAGATAAAAGCGGGAAGTGCAGGGATAAAAGCAGGAAATGCAGATATAAAAGCGGGAAGTGCAGGGATAAAGGCAGGAAATGCAGATATAAAAGCAGGAAGTGCAGGGATAAAAGGAGGAAATGCAGGGATAAAAGGAGGAAATGCAGGGATAAAAGGAGGAAATCAGAAACAAAGGGCTAGGAAAGCCATGCTGGAGTCACCCTGGGATAAACTCCTGTCACCACAGCAGATTTGGGAATTATTCCAGGTGCAGGCTCCTCTCAAAGAGAGCAGCCAATGTGAGAAGCTGCTTCAAGAAAAATCCTGGTTGCAGCCACTTAAAAATGTGAATGGCAAAAAAAAAAAAAAAAAAAAAAAAAAAAATTTGAAAGATCCCCAAAAGCAGAGTAAAGGCCCCAAAGCTTTGTGTGCAACACCTGAGAAATATCATTACTCCCAAAGATTCCTGAGAAATCCCAAACAGGCTCAAGTCTCTCCCATTTTTCCAGAGAGGAAAAGCTGGGAACACTTGGATGTTGCGTTTGATATTGAGCTGTCATGGAAAACCCTCCTGGAAACCCGGATTTGGGGGGATTCCAGCATTCCCAGGAGCTGGAGAGGTGGGAATGAGGATGAGGAGGACGAGGAAAAGTTTTACCGATGTTGAACTCCTCATTCTCTGTGATGATCTCGGCGTTGGGAACGATGGTGGGAGGCTGGCAGCGGAAAAGCTGGAAAGCTGGAAAAGCAAGGGAAGAGCAGCACATCCTGAAGACAGCCATGATGGAATCAGGGAAATGCTTCCCTCTGCACAAGGAAAATCCTCCCCCTCCACAAAGAAACTGAACTGGCAAAATCCAACCAGGCCTTTTCCCCTACAAATCCTACATGAAGGCAGGAATTTGCATCCCAATGTTTCTTCCACCCCAACAGAAAGATTTTGGCCATTCCTGGACAGTGTTTTTCCTTTGGGAATATCACCAGCACTTTTTGGGGTGCTGAAAAAGGATCTTGGTGCCCTCAGTGGAATTCAGTCACCCACCCAGCAGGGAGAGTCTCAGGCTGCTCCAGCACCTCATAAATGAAAATAATTATCCACAGAATTCCACTCCTTGGACAGGGATCTTAAAACTGACTCAGTGATTTATTTTTTTTTTAAACTTGGAATTAGTGATTTCTTCCACAAAGAATTCCAGGAGTGAGAATGTTTCCAGCTGCAGTTCCTTGGAGTTCTCTGACTGACCTGAGCAAGGCCCAAGTCAGTCCTCAGGGAAGGTGAAAAAGGGCAAAATTTGAAAAACTTTGTGAAAAAAACTGGGCTGGGAAACTTCCTGCAAAAAACTGCACTGAAAAACTCTGTGGAAAAAAAACCCCAACAAACTCGTTTGAAAAATTTTGTGGCAAAAACTGGGCTGGAAAACATCCTGGAAAAAACTGGGCTGGAAAACTTGCTGGAAAAAACTGGGCTGGAAAACTTCCTGGAAAAAACTGGGCTGGAAAACTTCCTGGAAAAAACTGGGCTGGAAAACATCCTGGAAAAAACTGGGCTGGAAAACTTCCTCAAAAACATGGGCTGAAAAACTTCCTAGAAAAAACTGGGCTGGAAAACTTCCTGGAAATAAAACTGGTTTGAAAAACTTCCCAGGAAAATCTGCCCTGAAAAACTTCATTGAAAAAAACTGGGCTGAAAAACTCAATGGAAAACTTGTGGTAAAAGGGAATTTTTTTGCATTTTCCCAGAGCTGTTCCCCGATATTCCCAACATTTTCCCCATGCCAGGAATGCAGCAGCACACACCATAGAAGTAGATGGCGAAGATGCCTCCGTTGGCGGCGTCGCTGTGGAATTTCAGCAGGACCTGGTTGGAGGAGCTCTGGGCGGATTTCTTGGCCGAGCTGCCTGTGAACACGCCCAGCTGGGGGGCTGTTTGCTGAGGCCCATCCCTGATGGCAGGACCAGAAGGAAAAATTATTTTTCCAAGGATTTGACCGTAGGAACCTGTCCTCCTCCTGCCCTGCATGCCCAGGGACTTCTCCCTTCCTTATCCTCCCTTTCCCACCTCCACATTTCACTATTCCAGTTTGACCCCCAGAACCTCTCCTGGCTCCCAGTGCTCACCCAGTTGACAATTAGAAACACAAATTTCACTTTTAACCTCAGAAAATTAGGAATTAGGAAATGAAAATGAGGAATTAGGACCCGTTTCCCAAAGGGATTTCACTCCCTGTTTGCTCAGCACACATGGGGATATGCTGAAGGTCAGCCATCGAGTGCTACAAGCTCAAAATTTGGTCACAAACTCTTTAATCAGAGCTCCTCTGGCTGCCTGAAGTTGATAATCTCCATTATTATGCATAAATAATATTTTTATTTATTAATATTAAAAGAAAGCTCAAAAAATTGTAATTTCTTTTCCCTTCTCCAAAACACCAGGAAGCTCCCAGACTGCAAAGGGGATCCCAAGGGGGTCCCAGTCCCACTTGCTGCTATTTAAAACCCAGCAGTATTTCCCAAAATGGGTTCTTGGAGTGACTCCTGACCCTCTGTACCCACCAGACAGTGATGAAGTCGTTGTAGGGCTCTGTCTGCAGCACGGTGAAGTTCAGGTGGATCCCGTATCCCACTGGCACTGTCAGGAGCCAGGTGCAATCCTGGGAATTTGGGTACTGGTTGGGGAAGCCAGGAGAGTAAACTGTCCCATTCTGGGCAGTGACATTGCCCCCACAAGGCACTGCAGGGGAGCAGAGAGAAACACAACCCTGGTGAGGAAATACCCCCTTAAACGCTTTATTTTTATTCCTTTTTTTGATACAAAGGTAACAGTTCTGGATAGATTCAGACCTTGGCCTAACTTGCCTTAGATAATTCCTCTCTGCTACAAGCACATCCCACATTTTCAGCTCAATTCCATGACAATGAAAGTATGGAACTCTTCAGGTGACTGTCCAGATGTGGATTTTATCCAGCTGTGCCAGCCAGATGTGCACAGAAACTCTTCTCTCACTCTCACAGAGAGTCCCTGAGCTCCTCCTGCTGCCTGCACCCACGGAAAACAGCTTGGGATGGGATCACCCTGTCCTAAAGCCCAGGAGCTGCACCAACCCCATCCTTGCATGGGAAGGGGCTGCCCAGGGCAGTGTGGAGACACAGTCCCTGGAAATACCCTAAAAACCTGTGGATGAGGCACTTGAGAACGTGGTTTAGTGGTGCTGGTTGATGGCTGGACTCCACAATCCTAAAGATCTTTTCCAACCTCGACAATTTCGTGGTCTCCATCTCATTAATTCAGGGTTAGTACCCAACACCACCCTTCCTGTGCAGCAGCAGCTCCATGAACCCCTCCCATCCCTCCCTGCTGATCCAAGTGTGAGCATGGAGCCAAGCTCCCCAGCCTGGCTCTGCTCCACAGTGTGTTCAAATAACCAAACCAGAAACCAAACCCCAAAAATCCTGAGGGGCCAAGTCCCCCAGGCCAGGCTGCTGATCCCTGGGAAAACCCCCTGGAACGCTGGAAGGTCAGTGCTCCTGGGAAATGGGCTGGGAAATCTTCAATAAGCAGCTCTGAACTTAAAGGTTCATCTGAAACCCTTCTGGAAGTAAATCCCACAGAACTCCAGCCACCAGCCCGAGGGGTGAAACAGCAATGAGCGGGTTGGAAAAGAGAATTTGGATGACTTTGGAGGCCTGGAATGGAAATCTTCAGCCTGCAGAGTCCTCTGAGCACGGTTTTCAGAAAAAAACAAAACAACCCTGGAAGATTCCTGAGGATCATTTTGGAGATGCCCATGAAGGAGACAGGGACACACTCAGAGCATTCAGAGCTGCAAGGCTCTTTTACCAGTGACTATTTTTATTTATCAGAGCAAAATCAATGGAAGCTGGATGTTGTTGAGAAATAAAGCAGCAAGGAATTATCACTCCAAGGACCCTGGAGTGTGTCACAGAGAAACAACAGCTCCAGCAGGGAGGTAAGAGACAGATTCTCCTCACCCACTTCCTAAGACTCAAATCCCCTTCAGAAGCCGTCCTTCGGTTTATATTCACCAAAAACACCTCATGGAGACTACATTTCACCCGAGGCTTCACTCCAAGCGCACATTCCCAACCACACCTTGCTCCCAGAGCCACTTCCAGCCCCGTTCCAAGGCAAGGAGCTGAGGTGCCGTGCCCAGGTGAGCCCAGGCCGTACCTTCACACCTGGGCAGGGGGTGGTCCCAGTTCCTGTTGGTGCCGTGCTGGCAGGTGAGCACGGGGTGCCCGATCAGCTGGTAGCCAGGCAGGCACTCGAAGGAGATGGACTGGCCAACGTTGTAGCCAGCTCCTCTCACCACTCCGTTGGCAAAAGGCTCCGGGTCAGGGCATTCCTGCAGCTCGTAGGCTGGGGAAACACAAGGAAGAATGTTCTGTATTTCACTTCCCAGGAAAAAAGGGACAGGATAAGGGGCAATGGCCTTGAGCTGTGCCAGGGGAGGGGCAGGTTGGACAGAAGGGGGGATTTCTCCATGGAAAGGGTTGGAAGGGGCTGCCCAGGGAAGTTTGGAGTCGCCACTCCTGGAAGGGAAGGGCTGGATGTGGCACTCTGTGAGAAGGTGGGGATTGACCACAGACTGGGCTCTGTGACCTTGGAGGGCTTTTCCAACCTCAGTGATCCTGGGATTCTGTTCACCCACGTGTGTTTGGCTCCTTCCTCCTCATACAGCAACTTAATTGGAGGAAATAAACCTTGATGAACCTGCCTGGAGGCTGAGGGGACCCAGGAGGCCCATCCTCATCCCTCTGCCTTGGAATCCAGAGTCACCCTATACTCCACTTCCAGCTGGGAAATGTGCCTTGTTTTCCAACCTCAGATGTCCAGCCCTGATGAGGGATGGGAGTCAATCGGTGACCATGTTCCTAAATGAGTGGTCAGCCTGGCTGGAGCTCATTTCCACGGCAATTTCCAGGAGATTTCCCACAGAACCTCGCCTGTCCCTGGGTGCAGCAGCCCATGAATCACCCGAGACACGAACAAGACAGGCAAGACCAAATTAATGCTTTCAATTATTCCCAGCAGAGGCATTTCCTTGGCTGTGTCACACGACTGGAGGGACACGTTCTCTCCCCTTCCCACTCCTTGGATCTCCTTCCCAGACCACTCAGCTCCCAGTTGTTTCCTGATTGTGTTCAGGGTGAAATCCACGAGCTGCCCTTGGCATCCTCTGCCCCTTTGAGTCCCCACATGCCGAGGGCAGGAGGGCAAGGAAGACCAAAAGGTTTTCAGGGACAACTATGGGGGCAAAACTGGGGGTCGGTCAGCCAAAAATTCATGTTCAAACAAGGAGAGCTGCCCAAGGACTCCAGCTGAGGAAACAGCACCTCCATCCCCCATCACCCCCAGAACTGAGGGCACCTCTTTATTTTAACAACTTCTTTGTCTCCTTTCACCCTTTGAATTCCCACTTGCTCAGCACAGGAGGGCAGGGAAGACAGAAAGGCTTCCAAAGATGGGAAGGCAGAGCTGGGGGACCAAAAATTCACGTTCAATACAGGGGAGGTGCCTGAGGAGTCCAGCTAGGGAAAACACCTCCATCTCCCATCGCTCCCAAAACTGAGGATTGAAACTTTAACAGCTTCTTTCTCTCCTTTCAGCCCAGGTCTCCAAGCCAGCCCTGTTCTATTATTTGGCTGCTTCATTATTTACCCAACCCTGCACCAGGCTGAGCTCAGGACATGCCTGGACTTCAGCCAAGGGGGAAAAGCAGCTCCAACATTCCAAAGCAAACTCTGAGAGCTCTTCCCCTTGCCCACAAGGTTCAAAGTGAACCTGGCTGTCATTTCACAGCCACAGGGCACTCTGGGAACATTTCTCCTTGCCATTGTGGGGAACAGATCAGTTATCAGGATTAAGTATGGCCTTCCTGTAATGCCTTTCCACTCATTTGGATTAAGCCCTCACAGAATTAACTCAGGAACCATGACTCCGTCCCACCACTCCCGAGGACAGGATTGTCCCTCCTCACCTTGGTATTCCAGCTTGAAGCCTGGCTTGTTCTGGGAGTGGTCACTGTGGAAGTAGACGGTGGTTTCGTGGGAGGTGGACAGGAGGGAGCCAGGCAGCTCGGCACCGCTGAAGCGCCCGATGACGCTGCTGGTGTCGTAGGGCCCGTTCCGGATCTCCACAAAGTCGTGGTTGGGCTCTGTGGAGAAGTTCAGGAACTGGATGTGGGCACCTGGAGAGGGGGAAGGAGGAGTTTGGCTTTAAAACTGCAGCTCAGCTTTTGCACCAGCACCAGCTCCAACCCCAGCACCAATCCCAGCACCAGCATCAGCTCCAACCCCAGCTCCAACCCTGGCTCCAGCCCCAGCACCAATCCTGGCACCAACCCCGGCACCAACCCCAGCTCCAACCCCGGCTCCAACATCAGCACCAACCCCAGCTCCAGCCCCAACCCCAGCACCAATCCCAGCACCAATCCCAGCACCAATCCCAGCTCCAACATCAGCACTAACCCTGGCTCCAGCCCCAGCACCAACCCTGGCTCCAGCCCCAGCACCAATCCGGGCACCAACATCATCACCTACCCCAGCACCAACCCCAGCACCAACCCTGGCACCAACCCCGGCTCCAACCCCGGCTCCAGCCCCAGCTCCAACCCCAGCTCCAGCTTCAGCCCCAGCACTTCCCACCCAAGACAGCCTGGGCACTCAGCAGGACTTTAACTGCCCTGGGGACACAGAGTGCCTTCAAACTGACACAAAGGAGCTTTGGAGTGGAGATGAGGAAGGAATTCTTCCCTGTGAGGGTGGGCAGGTCCTGGCTCAGTGCCCAGAGAAGCTGTGGCTGCCCTGGATCCCTGGGAGTGTCCCAGGCCAGGCTGGATGGGGCTTGGAGCACCCTGGGAAAGTTTCCCCTGGCAGGAGGTGGAATGAGATGATCTTTGAAGTTCTTCCCAACCCAAACCAGTCAGGGATTCTCTGATTTTTCACCCCCTCTTCTGTGACAGCACCAAGCCAAACCCAGCTCTCTCACCAAACCCCACTGGCAGCAGGATCCTCCATGTGCAGTCCAGGTTGCTGGGATAATTTCCTGGGAAGCCTGGGCTCAGGAGCACACCTTCCATCTCTTCTGCTGTTCCTCCACATTGGGCTGGAAAAAAACCAGGGTTCATGGTCAGGATCCAGTCACAAGATCCCTTCCAGGATCCCTGAGGGATCTGTCTGGATGAGGGCCGTGGGAAATCAAGGAATTGAAGATGCAGCTGAGAAAAAGGAACCAGCACCAAGTTTCCAGGCACTACATGGCCACATCAGAAAGGGATGTGCCCTTCTCCTGCCCTTTGGAGAGGAAGCCTGAGCCCAGAGATCCAGTTTGGGCCATCACAGAGGGAGAGCCAGATCTGAGCAGTGACAGAGGGGATGGACACCTGCTCTGCCCACAGACACGGCATCAAATCAGCCAGCAGCACTTACTTAAAACCTTAACCTCAAAAACAGCTCAAAAAACAACTGTGAAGGAGCTGAGTGATGCTATTTTAACTCCAGTTGCAGCTCCTTCTTTTTCCTGCCCCATGTGCCAATCTCTGCAGTCAGTCACTGATAAATCCAGCACAGAGTGTTTGCTCACTGCCTGCAGCCGACTGCCAGCCACGACAGCCCAAAAATATGTTTACAAAAGGCATCACATGAAATTGAAACACTGACAGCATCTCCTCATGCTTATCTGCATGACCTCCACCTGGTCCCAGCAGCACCAGCCAGCTGAATCCAGCCAGGTGCTCTCCTAACACGCTGTGACAGCCAGGCACAGGCTCTTTGTCCAACATCTCATTACCCTGGACTCGCTCCCCTAATGAGGTTTGTCCCAGAAGATTTCTCTTTCTTTTTCCTCCTAATGGCTCTCTAATAAAACTGCTTCTGAATTATTTAGAAGCCCAGCAGCTGGAGGAAGTAGACCAGGAGAAAATCAGCCCAGTTGCAAGCTGTGCTTGGAGCAGGAGCTCTGGTGGACACAAGACAAGAGTCCCAGGACTGTCACACCCACAAAGGTGATGGTCACTCCTGGCTCCAGATGTGTTTCTGCCTCTCTGCAGCTGCCTGGCATTTCCCAGCAATGTGAAAAGGCAGGCACAACTCAAGCAGCCAAAATCCTGCTGGACTGGGAGGCTGGTGCTGATTCAAAGAACCAAACTTGTGGTTTGCCAGCTTTTGGGATCCTCCTCCATGCTGTGATCTCCCAGCTGAGCCCAAGGGCTTCTGCTTCCATTCAGAGCAGCTCCCAAGGGAATGGGTCCTTTAGCTCAGCCATTCTCCTGGAAATGTCTTTCTATTTATTCCTGGCCAGCATATCATCAGATAAAAGAACTGTTGGCTCTTATAATTACTTTAAAGCCAAATGATGTAAGCTGGAACAGCAGGAGAGCAGGAGCCGAAAATAACTGTTAACTAAAGCTATTAAATGCATAAATGTCTCTCTCAGAGCTGCAAAATGTGCAATATGAATATTAAACATCTACATTTGCTATAAGTAAATGACTGAAAAATAATAAAAAAAATAAACCTCCTGCAAGTTCCCTTCACCTCCAGGCCTCTTCTCCTCGGGATCTTCCACAGGGAAATTGGAATATCCAGTCCCTTCCAGGCCTGAGTACCTGACCAGACCTGAGGGTAAAGAGCCACCTGGACAAGTGACCTGCTGGACACCAGAGTGGGCACAGCAAGTTGGGATCCTGGGAGACACCAGGCCCCAGGGAAAGAAGCAACTTTGGTGGGATCAGATGCATTCCATAAAAACAAACCACACCTCAGACGGAAAAAATCCTCAGCCCAAAAATCCAACCTGCTCCCAGCACGAGGAAATTTTAGATTTTCCCTTTGGAATGGCTTTGTGTTGAGGGGGATAAATCTGTGTTTCACATTCTGTGCTACAGCCACATCTCTAACATCCAAAACAAAGCACTCCAGGCAGCCCACGGGGACTTCTCGGGCGCAATTTCCCTGGCAACAAATGAAGGTTTTTTTTTCCCCCACACTCTCACACTTGCAGAACCAACCTGAATTTCTCTAAATCAGCTCTTTATCCTTGTTTCTTTATTTTTATTTTTTTTTAGGGAAGTGTTATAAATATCAGCCAGGTAGAAAGAAGTCCAGTCCTACCGATGCAGAGGGGTGGAGGGTAATTCCAGCGGCGCACCGTGCCCGGCATGCAGGAGATGTGGGAGTGGCCCTGCAGGAATGAAAAACAAGACAGGAGGTTTGGGAGCTGGATGGAAAACAAGGGGGGAGCCTGTCCCTGTCCTGGAAGGAAAGAATTCCTTGCAAGATAGATCCAACCTGATCCAAAGGGAGGCTCCCAGGTTCCTGTCCCATCTGGGGTGCCAGAAAAAGTGATGCCTTAAAGAATCTAGGAATAAAACAACACACTTTGGAGATAATATTAGTGTAGGAGGTAATCTAAAGGCTGGCCTTTATTGGATTCCAAGGGAAGATAGGGAAAAATGTCCATAAAATGCTCACCCCTGCAAGGGGGTGTGAATACAGTTTTACAAATTTAGGAAATGAGCTTAATTGACAGGAATCATCAAATAGAAACATAAATAGTGAGGTAATTCAACCCTCTCTGAATCTTCCCTCTCAGACAGGGACTAAACTTTGTTGATGAAAATGAACCAAGAGCTGGTTTCAACCTTGGCTCTCAGGAAGAAGCAGGACAGGACAGGAACCTCAGACCCCCAGCCTGGAGCTCTGGAGTGTATTTTGTTCTTTCCAGAGCTTGGAGCTCTGGAATGAATTTTATCTTTCTGCCTTGGGAAAAGCTATGGAAAAGTACTTGGGCTGGCCACAAATACTAACAGAGGTACAAAGAGATGTGTGAAGATGACAGACAGGACAGAAAAGCAGGAATCCTTCTGGTGATGCCTAAAGAGGCAACCTGGAGCAGAGGCTGGACAGAGTTAAAGGAATAAAGTAGGAATTTATTAAAAAGGCCTTCACGGATACACCTTGGGCAGCACAAGAACCCAGCCATGGCTCTACCCAAGATGGACCCAGGGTCACGAGTTTTCACACTTTTGTAAGTTTTGGTCCATTTCCATATTGGGGTTAATGGTCCAATTTCAGCTTCAGGGGATGAAGTCCCATCCTCCTCAATTTGCTGTTGTTTTTATCTTTTGGGGCTGAAGCTAGAATGGTGTCCTTGGTTCTGGGGCTGGAAAAGGATTGTTTTGTCTGACTGAACTGTGAGGAGAACTTGCTAGCACTCTATATGAAGTTCAGAGTTATGTTCCAGTGCTGCACAGAGTCTGGAAAACGTGAGAGCTGCAGCTGAAGGCATCAGTGGTACCTGCAGGGCATAGCCTGGCTCGCACTGGAAGGACACCACGTCGTTCACCAGGTAGCGCTCGCCGATCTTCAGCCCGTTCCCAGGAACCTGCGGCTCCGGGCAGCTGGACAGGCCCACGGCTGTGGAGGGAAGGGAGATGGGAGCTCAGGGAGTGGGGATGGGGCTGTGCTGAGGGCTGGAGGGATGGGGATGCACTTTTTGTGCTACAGACTGTGGGTGGGGAAATTCCATTTCCTTTGGAGTCTCCAAGGAGAGCCCATTTCCATTCCCACATTTACAGCTGGGAATATCCTGCTGCAAGCCCAGTTAACAACCCCCAGTATCTCATGATGGGCTCTCCCCCATCTCCTTCTCCTTCCTTTTTCCCTTTCCCTATCTCCCTCTCTCCTTCCCACATTTCCCCTCTCCTTGCCAAATCTCTCCTCTCCATTCATCTCCCCCCTCCTTGCCATGTCTCCCTCTCCCCTGTGCACACCCCAGGGAGATGAAAGGAATCCTGCAGGCACCTCACACAGGCTCCCAGCACCTCCCTCCCTCCCTCCCTGTGCTGCCAGCTGCCTCTCCAGGATAACCCCCTGCATCCCTGCAAGGGATCCTGCTCCGCTCCAGCCCCACGGAGCCCCAGGCAGGGGAAAATAAGAGAAAAGGAGTGAGGAGAGGCTGAGTCTCCTCCTAAAGCCCAGCCACACTTCCCAGCGTGTTCCCTCCCTGCTTGACCTTCAGAGAGGCAGGAGGGAAAACGGCTTTAAATAATTGTCCCTTCACATCAGTGGCTTTCACTCAGTCCCAAATTGTTCCTGCCTTTGGAGCATGCAGAGGTAAGAGCTCAGCCTGAGTAACCCAGTCAGGGAGAAACCAGAGCTTTCCTCTCCTGTTTTAGCTCATCTCTCCCAACTTCCTCCTAGGAGGAACACAGAAAAAACTCAGGGCTCAGGGCTGGGAGATTCCAATTGTACAAACAGAGCAGAAATCACATTATTTCCAGCTGCCCTGAAAATCAACACCTATTAATTTCCTCAGCCAAGGGAACAGACAGGGCTGATAATCCCCAGCCTCATGAAAAACCTGGCCATGATTTTTGCAGGAGGGCGCTCAAAGGATTTATTGATTGGAATAGAGGTGGAGAAGAAACAGAGTCACAGCAAGAGGGTTCCTGCAGCTCCCAGAGCACAGGCTGGGCACATTTTTTCCCTCCCAATCCTGTGTGGCTGTAATCCTGCTGGATTTCAGGTTTCAGTGTGTAAAGGCAGCAGATCCTGGAAGGTTTAGTGCTGTGCTAAAGCACAGTCCCAGCTGTGCCACTGCAGACTCACACTCCTTTGGGTGGGAAGGGTCTGCAATCACCCAGTTCCCCCCTGCGTGGGCAGGGACACCTCCCACCATCCCAGGCTGCTCTAAGCTGGCCTTGGACACTTCCAAGGATGTGGCAGCCACAGCTTCCCTGGGCAGAATTCCTGTGGCCACTTTAGGGGATGAACTGCACCTTCCAAAAACCCATTTGCAGCCTTGGAAAAAACCCAAAGCAGCAGAAGGTGGCTTGGCTCCAGAGACCAGAGCTGTGCTCAGAACCGGTTTTCAGCCCCAGTGCCCAGCAGGAACCGGTCCTGGAGAACTGGGGACACAGGCAGAGTTGTCCCCACTTGTCTCAGCAGCTCAGCATTCCCTGCTCTGCTGTGGGACATGGCCAGGCCAGCCTGGGACGAGCCAGGGAACTGCAGGAGCTCCAGGCTGGCTCCCAGCCCTGTCCCACAGGGATCCTCAGCAGGAAGCTGCCCTTGGATGTGCTGGGCAGAGCTGGCAGTGCTCTCCTGCACGCTCTCACTGCTGCTGGGCTCAATTCCAACCTCACCCAGCACCAGAGCTGAGAAAATCATGGAATATCCTGAGCTGGGAACTGCAAGGATCATCCATCTCTGTAGGATAACCCCAAAATGTTTAGGTTGGATTTAGGGAAAGGTTCTTCCCCCAGGGGGTGGTGGACACTGATCAGGCTCCCTTGGGAACATTCCAGAGCTCCAGGAGTGTTTGGACAGGGTGGGATTGTTGGGGTGTGTGTGCAGGGCCAGGGTTGGACTGGATGATCCTGGGGATCCTCCCAGCTCAGGATATTCCATGATTCTCTGCCAGTGTTATCCAAACACTGCTTGCACAGGGAATAGCAGTTCCCAGTCACCCCCATGCCCCCCACTGCAGCTGGGCTGTTGCACCTCTCCTGATCCGAGATCAGGAATCACACCCAGAGGAGAACAAATTTTTGTCATCCCCATCCAAACCTGACAGCCCTTTCCCAAAGGATTCTCTTCCCTGCCACATATCCCAGTCTTAGTCAGGTTTGTTCTGTCACCACTGGGGATTTCTTTTTGAAAACACATTTTCTGTCTAGAACCACATTTAACCACATGCTGGGGGTCTGTATTCCCAAAAAAACCTGGCATGAGGCTGGCTGAGCAATGTGCTGCCATTCCAGGGGCTGTTGGGATCATCCCTAACCAGGAACCCACTGAACTGCTCCACACCACCACAGAACTGGGGTTGGAGAGGACCTAAAAGACCTTTCAAAGGTGATTTAACCTCTAATTGAAAGGAGTGGGTGCCCACATGACCTCAGAGCTTCCATAGGTTGTGCCAAGGTGGCTCCCTCAGCTGGAGGCTGGAAAAGGAGGACAGACCAACCACCTTGGAAATGATCCTGTCCTGGGCACCTCTGAGCACCAAGCACAGAAATTCCTGGATCCAGGAGCATGCCCAGGGCTGTGGGGACAGGAGCACATCCAGCAGGGGAAGAGGGGAACATCCCCAGCACCCACCAGGCAGCACCTAAAACACTGCAGCTCTCCAGAGCACAGAAACCACCCTGATAAAAAACACTGGTGACATCGAGCTCAGCTCTCAGCCTGTGAGGAGAGGCTGCCCAGGGTGTTTGTGCATAAAAAACACTGGTGACATCGAGCTCAGCTCTCAGCCTGTGAGGACAGGCTGCCCAGGGTGTTGGTGCAGCCCATCCCTGCAGTTTTTCCAAGCTCAGGCTCCATTTAAATGTGCCAATCGAGTTTTATCTCTGTTCTGACCCTGCTTTCCTCAGCAGGTCCCACGGGATGACCTCTCAGGGCCCTTCCAGCCAGGAATTTTGGGATGAAGACGTGTCCAGGCCTGGCTGCTGTTCCCAGCAGAGAATGCCAAGAGCTGCAAGTCTCTGCCAGCCCCTGGCAAAGCAGCGCTTTCCAAGCCCACATCCCAGCCCTGCACCCAGGGGTTTTTATCCCTTTGTGCCATCAGACACAAAAAAGTGCCACCAAGAGCACAATGAGGGTGATCCCACCGATCTTTCCTCTATTTCTCATTCCCTCCCTGAGAGCAGGGAAGCCTCAGCTCTCCTTCTCCCACTCCCCCACCCCGCAGGCAGCTCCCCATCTCCCGGGAGCTGCGGGATCAAGGCTGGAACCGCTCTTACTTTTGTATTCCAGGTGAAAGCCGGCAGCAGAGACGCTGATGTCAGAGTAGAAATGCAGATAGAGCTGGTTTGAAGTGCTGTTGAGCAGCGCAGGCACTGTGGTTCCTGGCAAAACAAGAGGAGCACAAAGCAGTGGAGAGGATCTCTCTCCTCCTCCGCCGCGTCCTCGGAGATTTGCGGCAGGAGAGGCTGGCAACACAAAGTCCTTTCAACCTAACGAGCTCCTCTTGGTTTTGTTCAGGTTCTAATGAGGCCAATTGAGAAATACCCAGGGCCTTTCCAGCGGCTGCTCCAGGATTTCAGCCTGTAGAGCTTCGCCACGGACAGACAAAAAGCATCAATGGATGGGGAACAGCGTGGGTGGAGCACAGGTCCAGGAAAATTCTGGATTCCTTCCTTCCCTGGAAGCTGACAAGCAGGACAAGGCAGTTCCATCCCAGACCCTTCTCCTGCGAAGCTCAGAGTGCTCCGGGCACATTTGTTAAATAAATGAGATTTTGGGCCATTGTTCTGCCCGTGATGCTGCATTTGAAAACTCCTCAAAGCTCCTGGACCCTGGCTCCTGCTCTGCTAAAAGCCACAATTCCCCAGCTCCAAGGAAAAACACAGTTTGTTTTGTAGCCCTTCACCCATTCTGGGGCACATCAGGCAGGTCAGCTCACCCTGCCAGCTGTGGTGGCCTCACATCCCAGCAAAACTGAGGGAATCCCCATTTCCAGGAATTCAAACCCCACTGGTTTTGTGTTTTAAGGCTCCCACTCAACCTTTCCCACAGGCAGACGGAGTTGAGATTACCAGTCCGACAGAGCACATGATTCCCTTTAAATCCGTTCCTCATTTTTGATACAATTAAGTTTAATTTTGTGAGGTGAATAAAATGAGGCAGGAACTGATGGGCATGAGCACCACATACCAGAGAAGCTCCCCAGCATGGTGGCTGTGTTGTCTCCTCCATCAAACACTTCCAGGGAATCCCAGTTCTGCTCCGTGACAAAACTGATCACCTGGATCTGTAGAGAGAACCAAAACAAAGAAAAAAATTAACAGCACAATTCCTGAAGTAATGGTAATAAATCACATTAATAGCAATTAAATTAATAATGAATTAAATTATTAAATTAAATTAATAGCAATTAAACTAATTGAGTTTACACACTCTGGGGGTTCAGCACAGCAAAACTTGGAGACTTCTGCCTTTGACCATCCCCACTAGGATTTTCCAGCTATATTCCCCCAAACAGGAATGCTGTTTTCTGCTTCTGCTCCAGAGCTTCTGGAACTGCCCAGCTCATGTACAGCTGCTGAGAATTCCAACCTTTTTTACTCCCTGTTTGGAGAAATCCCCAAACACTTTGAGCCATTTCAAATGAGAGCAACCAGCAGCAACCTGGAGCTAAAATAAACCCAAAAAACCCCTCACATTAAACAACAGGATTTTCAAAATCCAGTCAAGTTCCTGCTTTGTTCTGCAGCTTTCAGTGGAATCACTCGAGCTGCAATTTCAGATTTCACCTTTCCCTGCCATGCTCCACAGGGTTTGGAGGCCTTAGGAAGTCGCTTGACTCCGTTAGTTGGAACAGCAACACAAATCCTCGGATGAGGAACATCTGGAGAGCTGAGAAATCTGCATTTAGACCAAAAAGCAGAGCTGAGGAATCTGCCTTTACACTGGAAAGCAGCTCGTGCTTGAGTGAGGATCTCCATGGAACTGCACAGCTTTGTTTGCCAGGATTACCATTAACAGGGATTTTGCCTAAACCCTAAATGCTGCCAGCTCAAAGCCTTCAGTGTCCCATTAAAAACCCAACTTTGGTGAATGGGGTGAGAAAATCTGAGCAAAAACCACTGGTTTTGGGGAAAATCCAGATTTAATCTGTAATATCTGGATGAGATTTTCCAAAGCTGGGTATCTCAAATTAAATTGGCAGGCAAAAAAAAAAAACCAAAACCCAAAAGAAACCTTCAAGACAAATCAGGAGCATAAATGAGTTGCTCAACTTGGCTCCAAACACAGAGAGAGCTGGAAAATTGGGAAAAACGAGCAATGAGGAGAGTTCACTGCCCTCAAACTTTGACTACACATGTATGAACTTTTCCTCCAAATCTTATTCCGTTTTTTTCCCCAAATCTTATTCCCTGATTTCCTCGTCCACTTCAATTCCCCACTTACCTCTGCCTTGCCGAACATCAAATCAAAACCCCTTGTTTGAAAATAAAATAAATTAAAAAGTAAAGAAAAAATGGAAAAATGGAAAAAATAAAAAATAATTAAAAAAAGAAATAAAAAATTAAAAATTAAAAATTAAAAATTAAAAATTAAAAATTAAAAATCAATCTCCCCATTTCAGCCCTTTCTTGATTTACTCCGGGTAATAAAACCAGCTGTAAAGTTCCTCCCAAGTATTGTTTTTAGCAGAAAGTGAGTGGAGTTCATCCAGCAGGAATCGCAGTGACCCCCACGGAGCCATCACCGCTCCCACTGACCCTTTTTTCCCTTTTTTCCTGCCTCATTACACCCCTATTGTGATTTACATTATTGGAAGTGGAGTGAGGATGAGCGTTTTGTTTGCTCTTACACCGCCTAAATTATTTATTCTCCTCTCTCCCACCTCCTCCAGCTTAACGGAATAAACATTTTTAAGGTCCTAATTCTAGTCTGACATGTGGATTCACAAGGGATCTGCATCTATTTAGTGCCACGTGTATAAATTATTTCACTCAGGAAGGTTTGCTCCGGGAATGAATAATTCATGGCAGAAGTGCCAGCTCCTACCCTGATTACATAAAAATCCTGTTCCTGAGTGCTGCTACCAAGAAAGCTTCAATTTCACCTCCTCCCCTGATTTACAGTTGTTTAACCTTTAATTGTTGTGCAAAAAGGGGGTAAAGGGATGCTGGCATTAGGATCTAATAATGGAGAGCTCAAAGGAAGTGGAGCCAGGACGGATCCAGCTCCAGCTCCGTGGGAGCTGCCCTCAGATGCTTCACTGCAGCTGTTGGAGGTCCTGAGGGCCAAAATCTTTCTCCTTTAGCCCTTTTTCCCTCCCTGGAAGTCCCAGGGAAGCTGATGGGTCATGCCAGCAGATCCCAGTGCCATGTGGAAGTGGAGACCTCAGCACTGGTGGGAGCCCCAAAAACAGGGGATCAAAGAATTTCAAGGAGTTGGGATGGACTTTAAAGCTCATCTTGTCCCAAAACCTCTGCCATGGGCAGGGACGCCTGCCACTATCCCAGGTTGCTCCAACCCTGTCCAGCCAGGCTTTGGATGCTCCCAGTGTTGGAGCATCCACAGCCCCCGTGGACAACCATAATAAAAAACTTCTTCCTAATGTTTAACCCAAATTTCCCCTCTTTTGTACCAGAGTGAGGGTCACACTGGGGGACCACAGTCCTTCCCCAGATCCCACCCTCTGCACCCCTGACAGTGCTCCTGGAGCTCTGGCAGCCTCAGGGCTGTGCCCAAACACCCTCTGGAGGAAGAACCTTGCCCTGATCTCCAACCTGACCCTCCCTGGCCACAGACATCCCCAGTGAGCCTCTGCCTACTTGTGGCAGTAGATGAACACCTGATTCCAGAGAATCCGACACCAATCCATCCCTGCCCTGTGAGGAGCAGCGAATTCCCAACGCGTGGCCTGTCCGAGAGCAAGGCACCCCGAGTGTGCTCCTGTCTGTCCCGGCTGTACCTGGATCCCTGCTCCCTCAGGCACTGTGATCTTCCACACGCAGTTGAGGCTGTTCAGGTAGGGCTCGGGGAAGCCTGGGGACAGGATGGTTCCTTTCCTCTCCGTCAGGTTCCCCCCACAGGGCACTGCAATGAGCAGAGCAGAAGGGATTGGCTTTGGGCTAAAAAAATTGCTAAAAGGACAAGAAATCAAGAACTGGTTGTGAATTAAGGATGAGATTTGTAGGAATAATCCTCCTTCCAGTAACTTTTTTCATGCCACTTTTGGCACATTCCTTGGGTGTGGGGAACACACGGGGCTGATCTTCAGGAGCTGCTCTACTTCAGAGGAGGTGAAAGCTGCTTTCAGCCAGATCTGATTTATTGCAGATGCTGTTCCAGATCTCACAAGAATGTTGGATCAAAATGTCAATTCCCTGGAATTCGGGGTTAAACTCTTCTTATTCAGAGCCAGGCTGGGCTTTGTATTGTATCAGACAATGGTTTGGGTGGGAAGGGACCTTAAAGATCACCAAATCCCTTCAATGACACTGTCCACTATCCCAGGTTGCTCCAATCCCTGTCCAGCCTGGCCTTGGACACTTCCAGGGATGGGGCAGCCACAGGTTCTCTGGGCACAACTGCAAGAGTTTTTAAAGAAGTCTTTTACATTTCATTAATACTTTGTTCTGCTGTTGATTTTTCTCACAGAACCACAGAACACCCCGTGCTGGAAAAACCCCACAAACATCACTAACATCCAACCCCTGGACTCTTTCCAGGACAACCCGGAGTGCGGCACTGCTCCGAAACGATGCCGCCAATTTCCCCAGCGCCACCCAGCCCGTTCCCGCCTCGCTGCCACCTACCCAGGCAGGTGGGGACGGAGGAGTTCCACTGTGCCAGGGCCCCGGGCATGGCCAGGCACTGGATGGCGGGGGAGCCGCGCAGGCCGTAGCCAGGGCTGCACTCGAAGCGCACCACGGCGCCCACGGCGAAGTCGCTGCCCAGGCGCCGCCCGTGCCGCGGCTCCGGCACCGAGCTGCACTGCGTGGCGCTGGTGCGGGGCACGGCTGCCGGGGAGCAGGAGACACAACAGAGTTAGTCTAGGGAGTGTTAGCTGCTGGAGTAAAGGGCCATCAGTTTTATGCTGAAATCCTGAAGTGTCTAAACCCCAAGGAAGTGTTGAATGCAAACTTGAGCGTTGGCTGATTGTAGGTAAATCCCTGAAGTATCGGGGCTGAATCCACACGTGACCATTGATTGTATCCAAATCCCAAAGTATTTAAACTCCAAGGAGGGGCTGAATCCAAACTTGGCCATTGACTGATTGTACCTAAAACCCCAAAGTATCTAAATCACAAAGAGAGGATGAATCCAAACATAACCATGGTCTGATTTTATCTAAATCCCAAAGATAGGCTGAGTCCAGGCATGACCATTGACTGATTATATCTAAACCCCAAAGTATCTGAATCCCCAAAGAGGGATTGAATCCAAACATGACCATTGACTGATTGCACCCAAATCCCAAAGTATCTAAATCCCAAAGAGGGGCTGAATCCAAACATGAGTGATTGATTATACCAAAATTCCAAAGAGGGGCTGAATCTAAGGACGACCATTACCTGATTACTCCTAAACCCCAAAGTATCTAAATCCCAGTGTGGGGCTGAATCCAAGCACAACCACTGATGATTCCTAAACCCCAGAGAGGAGCTGAATCCAAACATGACCAGTGACTGATTTTATCTAAATCCCAAAGACTGGCTTAATCCAAGCATGACCATTGAGGGATTGTACCTAAATCCCCAAAACTGATCAAATCCAATCATGACCATTGACTGATTATACCTAAATCCTACAGACTGGCCTAATCCAGGCATGACCACCGAGTGATTACTCCTAAAGCAATCACCCCAAAGTATCTAAATCCTAAAGAATGCCTGAATCCAAGCACGGCCACTGAGAAGAGAAAGAAAGAACATTTCGCTCCCAGTTCTGCCAGCTCAAGTGATCCGAGTTCCAGTGGTTCCATGACAGAGTGGAGGTGGCACTTGGTGACACGACTGGGTCACCTTGGATGAAGGTTGGGCTTGAAGATCCTGGAGGTTTGTTCCAACCTTAATGATTTAATGATTCTATACCTGAAATAAAAGCAGCTGGGACATCCAGAACTCCCCCTGCTGCCTCCCTCCAGAGAACTTTCCCCACATCAGAAGGTTGTTTTTACCCAGGGGAACCAAAGGGTTTGGCAGTGACTTCCCAGAAAGTTGTTTTGTCACCCAATGCAGGAGGCTCCATGGGGAACCCTTTGGGTTCCTCAACGCCCTGGGCCTCATGGCCATGAAGGAACAGGATTTGGAAAAAACTTCTTGGGAAAAGACAAAAAAGGGGGATTTAAGCTGTGATGGTGCCAGAGTTGTTGATATTCCTGTTGAGTACTGGGAATTACAGTTAAAGGCAGGAATGAGTCTATCAGATAAGTGAGGAGAAAAACTCATAAAAAAAACAGGTCTATTGCAGAGGAAGAATTCAATTAATATTTTCCTCTGAGTTGCTTTACATTTCTGAGTGTTTAGCTAATTAGAGGCTGGCCGGGCAGATCCAAATCAGGGCCAGGTTGCCCTTTTCCTCTTGCTTCCCATGCAGCTCTTGCAGGAGGGAGGAGGAAACCTTCCCTGGTTTCATCAAAACCTTTGCTCTGCTGAGCTCTTTGAAGATTACAATCACAACCACGGCTGTTTCACACTCATTAGGCAGGAATTCAAGAGAACAGATCTCTAACTAGTCCAAAATCCAAACCATGTTTCGATTCACCCCTGGAGAAGGCTCAGGTCATGCCAGTGTCTGTCTCCTCTTTGCAGCAAAAGCCTGGATGTTCCCACAGATAACTCCAGGGAGCACGTGGGTGAGAAATCCCTTCTGTTTTCCCACTGTTCTGTGCATCATTTGCTATTTACTCCCATAAAATCCCTGAGTTGTTCTCGCCCAGAGCAGCACAAAGCTGTTACTGAAAGGATCAAGGGGCAGGAGTGTGACAGCCCCGAGCCTGTGACATGCACAGAGGGAGAATTTCCAAGCTGCCAGACAGGATTTCAGCTGCTTACACCCAGCAAAGTGCTAAAAATGCCACTGGGATGAATTGCTGCAGGATAAATCTCCAAATTCTCTGTGTGACTCCGGGCATGACGCCGGGATGGGGCTGATGATAATCCTGGGATGTGCAGGATTCAGGCTGAGTGGCAATGAAAGGGCAGAATACGAAGTACCCACAGCAGCCAGCCAGCCCTGCGAGAGCTCTGCTCCCAAAGGAATCCTAATTCCCTGTGATATTCCCTGCTCAGAACCCCCAGACACCTGAAGCAGCTCAGGACACTCAGAACACCCCTGGGAGCGACCCAAGGATGGTTCCAGAACACACCTGAACTCACCTTGGTAGACAAAATGAAAGCCTTTGGCTGTGGACTGACCCTTGGAGCTGAATTTGATGAGGATCTGGTTGGTGGTGGCCAACGGCAAAGATTCCCCTGGATGGGGAGGAGAGAAAATGTGAGAGACAGAGGTGAAGGAATGAGGGGCACTCCCAGGACACAGGGAGCAGGTGTTGGGTGCCAGCCGTGACAAAGCTGCTTTCCCCAGCAGGGACAGGGACAGGGACAGGGACAGGGACAGGGACAGGGACAGGGACAGGACAGGGACAGGGACAGGGGCTGGGACAGGGACAGGGACAGGGACAGGAACAGGGGCTGGGACAGGGACAGGGACAGGGGCTGGGACAGGGATAGGGACAGGACAGGGACAGGGACAGGGACAGGGACAGGGATAGGGACAGGGACAGGGGCTGGGACAGGGGCTGGGACAGGGATAGGGACAGGACAGGGACAGGGATGGTGACAGGGATAGGGACAGGGACAGGACAGGGACAGGGAGCAGGTCTCTACCTGAGTGAGAGCCCGAGAGGGAGCTGAGCAGGCGCGAGTGCTGCGTGGGGCCATCGTGCACTTCCACCACATCATTGAGCGCTGTCTGGAAAAAGGCGAACTGCCCGAAGAGCACTGCGGGGACAGGGACAGGGACAGGGACAGGGACAGGGACAGGGACAGGGACAGGGACAGGGACAGGGCTGGGACCAGCCACTGCTGTCCCCAGTGTCACCCTGCTGCTGTCCACAGCATCATCACACTGCTGCCACCATTGTCATCACACTGCTGTCCCCAGTGTCGCCACACTGCTGTCCCTGGTGTCACCACACTGCTGTCCCTGGTGTCACCACACTGCTGTCACCATTGTCATCACACTGCTGTCATCACTGCCATCACACTGCTGTCATCATTGCCATCACACTGCTGTCCCCAGTGTCACCACACTGCTGTCCCCACCATCATCACACTGCTGTCACCATTGTCATCCCACTGCTGTCCCTGGTGTCACTACACTGCTGTCCCCAGTGTCACCACACTGCTGTCACCATTGTCACCACACTGCTGTCACCATTGTCATCACACTGTTGTCACCATCATCACCCCACTGCTGTCCCTGGTGTCACCACCCTGCTGCTCCCAGTGTCCCCACACTGCTGTCACCACTGTCACCCCACTGCTGTCCCCAGCATCATCACACTGCTGTCCACACATTGCTGTCCCCATGGTCATCACACTGTTATCCCCACTGCTGTCCCCACTCCATCCCAGTGCTGTCCCCACTGTCATCCTCACTGCCATCCCCCTGCCATCCCCCTGCCATCCTACTGCTGTCTCCTTGCTGTCCCCACCATCACCCCACTGGTGACCCCACTGCTGTCCCTACCATCACCCTACACAGCCAGGCCATGGAGCCAAGGCGTTTTCATGGAATCACAGAGTCCCTGAGCTGAAATAGACCCCAAGGACCATCGAGTCCAACCCCTGGCCCTGCACAGGACCCCCCAGCATTCCAAACTGGCATCTATTTTCCCAGCACAACCTTTGTCCCATGTTCCAGCTGCCATCATTCCAGGCAGGGACAAGCCCTGAGTGACAGCCTGGAAAAAAGGGAGCCCTTTATTTATCCCCAAATTCCAGAGGCAGCACCAGCCTCCCCAGGGTTCATTGCTACGACCTTTTCCCACTGATTCCCAGTCCACTGGGAATTTTCTGTGACTCATCCCCTTTCTCTGCCTAAGGAGGTGCAGAATTCCACCAAGGGACAATAAATACTGATGAGCTGTAATTGGCTCCCGTTGGGTTGAGCTTTGGACAAAACCTGGACAAATCCAGAATTTTCTCTGACTCCAGCATGCAGAGCACCCAACAGCACCACTTGCTACTCTCCCATCTGCCCTATCTCCAGTTATAAAAAATTATCATTAAAACCCAGCAAGTAAGAGTTGCAAGAAGAGAATCCCATAAAAGTTCCAAGCATGGTACCGTAGTCCTTGGGCACGATGATGGAGTACAGGCACACCTGGCCACTGGTGTAGTTTTGGGGATAATTTGGGGACAGGACGACTCCATCCGAGCCCGTGTACTGCCCTCCACAGGGAGCTGCAAGGGAAAGGATCATGGAGCATCCCTGGAGCCTGGAAATGTCCCCTGCCACCATTCCCTGCTCCAGGTGCTGCTCCCTTAAAGTTCTCATAGGAAAAATCAGGTTTATCCCAGTCCTAGCTGGTGCTGGAATTACCACCTGGAAAAACCACGCCATTAATGTGGGGTTTGCACCGTTCCCCACCCCACAGCTTGGGACGAGCTCCTTTTTCCACCTTTCCTCATTTTCCCTGCCAGAGCCTTCCCAAATTAGGGATTTTATTCCTTCCCCCCATCAGCTGCCTCTTGATTCCCTTCTCAGCTCAAGTCTGACTGCAGTCCATGAAGCCAGAAGAGAAAACAAAATAACCACAGAGAAACCCTGTGCGAACTGACAATGGTCAGATAAGAGACTTTTAGGCTTCAGGAATTAGCTTGAGCCTGTGTGAAACTGAGTCACACAACGTTCTCACTCTGGCCTGGGAAATCAAAAGGAGGAATCTGAACAGTCCTTGGAGAAGGAAAACAACCTCTGCAGGTGTTGTTTGTCACCTTGTTGTTTTCTTGCAAGAAAAGGTGTTGTTGCTGGGTGTTGCTCCCAGCTGTCCAGTGATGGTGATGTGTTGGTTTAATGACCAATGAGTTTTACCTTTCCAAACCTTCTCGGAACTGTCTACAAAAAAAGATCTGGAATAACAAAACTTGTTCTCTTGTGCAATCCAGCTAGAGAGTTTGTGTCGTATAGTGCAACAAAGCCCTAAGAAAAAGAGCCTTGTTTTGTCACTGAGCTCTGCCCCTGCTCAGGAATGCCCAAGATTGAGGGTTTAGATTAGCAAGGATCAGGTTTAGCCAGGGCTTAAGTGGATTCCTGACCAGGCGCTCGGGATGTGTCAGACACTGGATCAGCCATGTCCAGTTTCCCATCTATCTCCAAAAAAAGCTCAAGAAAACTCCCAGAAATCATCTCTTTCTGTTAAAAGAAGAGCTGTTAAACCCCTGAAAAACGCTGAAAAAATAATTCCTGTAAGAACCCCTAAAAAATGAGAGAACACTGAGAAAACCCCTGTAAATCAACACCCAGATTTGCGTGGGTGACGCGCTGAGGATGCGGCTCGGGGCACATCCTTCCCCCCGCCCTTTCCCGTGGCATTTACCTGTACAGGTGGGGCGAAGCTTGTTCCAGGTGGGCTTTCCATCTGCTCCCATCACACAGGTGAGGGTGGGGCCCCCCTCGATGTTGTAGCCCCCATCACAGTAGAAGGTGATGGTGGAGCCCAGCTTCAGGTCCGTGCCCACCCTGGTGCCGTTCTTGATGGACCCTGGGTCAAAGCAGGACTCCCGAGGGTTCTCTGCAGGGAAAAGAATTCCCAGGGTTTTTATTCTTCTGGCACTGCTCCTCTGCTGTTTTGATCAGTGAAATAGTTTTTCTAGGCTTTTTTCCATCTGGGAATTGGTGAGGTTTTCACAAGGACCATTTGCAGGGTCTGGATTTTGGATTTGGTTTGGATTCTGGCTGCTCCAGACCCTCTTGGGGTGCTCAGCACAGGAGCTCTGGGAGAAGGGAGGCTCCAGTTCCCACACAGGCACTCAAAATCCAAGCAGTAAGACCAAACTTTGATTTCACACAATTCCAGGATCACTGAGGCTGGAAAATCCCTTCAGGATCATCGAGTCCAAGCTGTGACCCATCCCCACCTTGTTACCAGCCCAGAGCACCGAGTGCCACAAGGACAAATCATATCTGAGATGAGGAGATGGCACAGAGAAATTTATTGGATTTCCCATCCCTGGAAGTGTCCAAGGCCAGGCTGGATGGAACTTAGAGCAACCTGGGACAGTGGAAGCTGTCCCTGCCTATGGAGCTGGGTGGCTTTTAAGGTCCTTTCCAACCAAAATCAGTCTGGGATTCTTTTATTTATTCCTTGTGCCATGTACTTGGACCCCTCCAGGGGTGGGGATTTCACCCTTTTCAAGGCCTGACCACCCTTTCCATGCAGAAATTCCTGCTTATGTCCAACCTGAGCCTCCCCTGGCACAACCTGGGGCTGTTCCCTCTCATCCTGTCCCTGATCCCTGGCAGCAGAACCAAACCCCACCTTGCTCCACCCTCCTGGCAGGTAGAGAGTAAAAAATTTTCTGCCCTGCAGAGTTTAAAATCACATTTCCATATAAAAATTCCAGGGAACACTACAGAGCTGTCAGGACTTAGATATTTCTTTCCTTCTTCTTCTTCTAACAGCTTTTTTTGGGATATTTTTTTTCTTTCTCTTATTTTTTTTTTCCTGCCTGCAAGATAATTAGAGGCTTTGATTAATCCTGCTCTTTTGTCATTTGGAAATTGCTCATTAAAGACGAGGGCTTTTCTGAGAGCAGTGGCTCTGGGAACAATTCAAGTGTGCTTAAGCATTAAATCAGGGACTCTCAGATTTTGGGGAAGGTGTGGAAGGAGAAACAGGAAACTGTAAAGCCCACAGGTCTTGCTTTTGCTTCTCTGCATGAAAAATCAAATGATCCCATGGTTTCCTGTCTACAGCAGCTGCACCAGGTGATACAGGTAAATGGGGAACAAAAGGATGGGCATTTTATTTTCCCAGAGCACCAATTCCCTGTTCTGGGAGCCACAGCCTGGTCAACCCCCACTGCCCATCACACATTTGTATCCTCATCCTTTAAATCCTGAAATCCTGGGCTCTCCTGCTCTCAGTGAAGTCTTGATGGACAAATTTTGGACACTTTGAGCACCACTTTTCCTCTTTCCCTGTTCCACTCTGTTCCTCTTCATCTCCCTCTCTTCTCCCACTGCCTGGGGCAAGAGGGACTCCCTGACTCCCTCCCTCCCTCCCTCCCTCCCTCC